AAACCTGGACAGATCCCGAGATTTCAGGGACACAGGAAATGACATGAACAAAACCAATGAGGAAGTTGGTGATGATGATTATTAGTATCATTGATGATGATTATTGATGATGATGATGATGATGGTGATGATGATGATGATGGTGGTGGTGGTAACCAGTGCATCTCCGATCCTGAAATGATAGCTAATTACAGTACGCACGCAAAATCACCACGGAAAACCTGCAGAGACGCACTCTGCGTTTGCTTGCAACCACTGGAAATGCTAGCAAAGTGTGTCTATGTCATATATGTCATAGTTGATATAGTTGTTCACAGTATATCCAGCTGCAATTGCATCAGAAAGCTGTAGCAACCTGAATAGTTTTGAACATAGTTTTGGACGGGTTTCTTCACGCAGGGGACTGCTTGGGACCCTGCCTTTTCTCACCGCTTGGAGCGCTAGGTCTTTGATGAATACATGGAGGATCTAGATGGTGCGACCCGTCTGCGATGGATTTTGGTTTTGGAAAATTGATATAGCCGCTAGATGCAATAAAATGTGTACCTCATGGATTATTGTAGGCTTCTATTTTGGGGATGGTAAGACAATGAACACATCCATATCATTCACTATCATTCCATAGTATGATATATATGTTTACTTATTATATCCCCATTATCCAATTCTCTATATACATATATAATCTCTCTCTCTCTCTATAAATTAAAAAAATATATATCCCATTCTCAGGTTTATATCCCCATTATAAATCCAAGTACCCTCTGGTAAACTAACATAACTATAGAAAATCACCATTTTCAATGGGAAAATCCACTAATTATAAATGGTCATTTTCAATAGCTATGTTAGTTTACCAGAGGGTATCCTACTTCGCCGTCAGGGCTTTTGTTGTATATCTCCGTTAAATTCCTAGGCCCTGACGCGGCGGAACATCGTGAATTTGGTGCGAGCCGTCGGGCTGAACCCCTCCAAGGCGACGAATGGCGAGTGAAGAGAATTCACGGGGATTTCCATTGGATGACTTTCATGGATATAGCCAGAGAAATAAGCTATCATATTATTATATTAATAAATATACTATATATTATATATATATGTCATATATATATATATCATAATATTTCATAATATATTCCAAAGATATCCAAAGATCATTAATATACACCAATTTAATATATCATCATATGATCCTTGGAGTTGTCTGAAAATATGGTGTATATGATCGTTAATCGGTTTGTAGTTTGTACCCAATATGATGAGGAACATGACAATCAAGCCATCCAATTTCAGGCTTTCAGGCTCTATTTTCAGACCAACTAACCATGAACCACCTGGGTACTGACCATCTGGTGTAGGGCAACACTAACCATGCCCTAGTTGCAACGTCTTGGAAACCCACTTGACCCCATCCTAAGTCAACCCCACATGGTCCCACATATGGATATTTGGGGGATGGGACTACTACCCACTCAACCCTTGTGAACATCCAAAAAACCAGCGCATGAGCCCAAAAAACCAGCGGATGGTCATATGGTCACCCCAGGGCCCCAGATTCGTTGTCGGGCCGCGGCTAAGTATGATCCTTCTATTGCCATCCCTAACTGAGTTTATAGTTTCCTGTAAATCTATCAGAGATGTGAAGTTGTGAAGATAGTGCGTACAGACCTTGAACCAGCACAGCACCCCTGTTTCAGACAACAAAGAACTGTGTAAACAAGCACAAATCTGGGCCACAAACACGACCTAAAGACCTAAGCCTTCGAACCTCTTAGATGACCTTCTTGCATCGATTGTCTTGAAACCTTCGCGCGTTGGTTTCATGGCCAGTCCGATCTACAGATGATCATCAAGCAGGTGGCTTGTCTGAAAGTAGGCTACTCCTTCCCATGGTTCAAAACCTCAGTTCCCCCATAAACATAGCAACTTTGAGGTGTTCCCCCAATTTCAGTCATACCCAAGGATATATATATATATTGTTGGTCATATCCCCATGTATTCCCAAGATATCACCATAAACTGGTCGCTTGTGTCGTTTTAATCTCACATTTTCGATAATTTGAGATGATAGCATCTGGTAGTTGGCAAGCATATCCCCAGCTAGTGGTTGGTTTCGTCCCTATGGTTGGTCTTATTTGAATATCTCATTCTACCGTAGACCCAAAATTTGCCCAACACCCATTGCCCGGGTCATCCCAGATTTTTTCCAAGGCGGACTCAGATGGCAGTGGAGATTTAGACTTTGAAGAGTTCATGATCATCGTGGCGCAAGTGTGGCTCCCGCCATGGCTTTGACAACAAGCTGGTGTTTGGGGATGGGATTTTGAGTGATTTTTGGGACCCCAAAATCATCCAAAATGGATGATTGGATGATATTGAATGATGGGGAAATCAAGGGTTTTGGGATACCACAATTTTGAGAGACGTCCATATGGGAAATTAGATGCTGAACCGTAGTTTTTTGTTTGTTTAACGCTATATATGTAGAGAACCACATATTATTCTTTATTGTCATATGGATTGGTCAGACTGATGTTTGCCAACGTTTGCAAATTCATGGCATTTTGAGTGGCCAATTCTGACCCAAAATGCTTGGGTTCAGGGCAGCTCTCATCGATGCAGCGCCAGGATCGCTATCACTCCCAAGCCCTCGCCTGAGGACGGCTGGAGACGGTTGACCCGGTGATTGCGCAGTCAATCGTGACGCGGGTAAAAATATGGATTCTGCGTCTTGATTTTTTTTGGGACATGCCAATTTTAAGGGGTATCCTATGGTATCCTCTATTTTGAGACAACTCCAGATGTTGCAGATATGAGGATTCTAGATGTCGCAAACAGAAAGACCCTACAGTTGGATGTACGAAAGACTAAGAGAATATATGAACGCAATTGCACTGAACATGCTCTAATTGTTCTTTCCCAATTCTTCAGTCTTCTCATTCTTTTCATATTGGTACCAGGCAACCCTTCCCCCCCTGCCACTGCCATTTACCGCAAAACACCATTTTCAATGGTAACAACCAGGGGGTTCTGGGGGTTCCCGTGAACTTTCCCTTCGACCCAGCTCAATTCGGGCCAAAAAGATTTGACACTGAAAGAGAAAGAAAGGAAAGGATTCACAAGAAGGGGCCGAAGATAGGCACGTTTTGAGTTTTGCCATGTTTCCCCTTGTTTCTTCATGTTTCCCACGTTTACCTACGTTTTTTTTTCCAATCGTTTCCCATGATTTAAGATCTTCCCGACTTGGGTGAGGAGTATGAGCGCGACATGAAGGAATTGCTCCTTGTCACAATCGCTGGATCAATAACGACCTCACTGCCACTCATCCTCAAATGGCCGAACTTTTCAGGGGTGAATTATTCATATTTATCCAGAATCACGTGCTCCCAGTGCTCCCAAAACCAGAAAACAATCTTAGAGATTAATCAGATACACATATACCATCATATACCCATATACCCATAGATCTACATGATATATATCTTATATATATATATATATCTTATATATATATATCTCATATATATATATATTTATATATCTTATATATATATTATATATATATATATATCTTATATATATATATATATCTTATATATATATTATATATATATATATCTTATATATATATATCATATATATATATATTATATACATCTTATACATATATATATATATATCTTATATATATTATATACATCTTATATATATATCATATATATATCTTATATATATATCTTATACTATATATATATGTAATATTATATTATATCATATTATATTATATTATATTATGTTATGTTTTATTATATGTAATATATATATATATGTATATCATATGTATACTTATTTTGTATATATCTTATATATACACCCATCTTGGGATGAGAAGATGAATGCTCTGAGGTTTGAAGCCATTGATCGCCAGTGACTCAATACTTTGCCCACTGAGGAGCTGAATCCGGGGGTTTCCTAAATTGGGGGTACCCCAAAATGGTTGGTTTATAAGGGAAAAACATGGAACAACCTATTAAAATGGATGATGTAGGGGTACAGTACCCATATTTTAGGGAATCACCAGATTGTGTTAGTTAAGGTTGACCACAAGTTGACCATTTTGAAGCCGCAACAACCCAATGATGCCTGGATCTCTCTATATATGATGCTGATTATGGTTGAACAAGGTTGGATGTATGCATATTTTTATTTTGGTTGCATCATGATTGGACATGTCGATGAATTTTCCCGTGATGCCCGATAATCGCAAATACTTTACTAGGACGAAAGTTTTTTCCCGCGCGCTGTTTCAGAACAAAGCAGTTTGTATCTCTTTGCGGATCACCGTTATGCTTCGGATTGCCATTTCGCGTGGCCTGCGTGGTGGATCGAATTTACTAGCCGTTTTAAATGAAAATTCTTTTAAAGGTTACGAATGTGTTCCGTGGTCCATCAAACCAAGTAGAAAGTTCTTAAGTAGAAACTTCTTTTGTAGGAGTCTATGGGGAAAGGGTGTTAGACAGCCCAAGAGGAACAACTTTTGTCCTGGCGGTGTAATCCCAGCACATGAACATTTCTGATTGATACTCCGGTTCGTTGTGATCTCATGTGATCTCTATCCTGTGCAAGCCCCAAAAATCAATGAACCAACCATGACTCGACGCTAAGTTGATGGTGGCGGCTCTATTAGCTCCAGAGAACTGTGCCTTGGCGATCCGACGCCTCTGGGGTTAACGCGGCGCGTAGCTGGGCTTTTTGAATGACCGGTTTCTTTTTTGGTACTGCTTTGTGCTGATTTCATGATATAACACCATTATCATCATTATACACCATTATACATGGTTTTACATGGTTTTATATGATGTATAACCATGTAAAACCAAGTAACACCAAAAAATACATCATTATACAACTTTTGGAGGGCGTCCCAACTGTTTTGTTTTGTTTTTTGTTTTGTTACTATATACACCAAAAAATATGCCAAAACGGGATTGTCCGAAAATTGCGTGGACCCCAAATCCATTGATTAATCAAGTGAAGCATCATACTCCACAATCTTGTCACATGTTTTAGACATCCATTGGTTATTCACCATGTTCAACAATTGCCATAAACCGCTGGCGAATCATTTTCAGCAACCAAAGATCACTTATAAACGTCACAGACTGTCACATACGATGGTTGCTTGTTTCTGTTGTTTCTCCCATCATCTCCCCATATGACCATTGAATCCACTGATATCTGGTATCATCTGCTATCCACGGCTCAGGATCCAGGCACTCACCACCAAAGGACCTGAACCCATGGAAGCCGAAGAGGTTCTCCGCCTGGGTGTTTTAAAAGGGACCCGGTGGACCCGGTGGACCCTGGAGGGACCTGGTGGAGCTGGTGTCAGGTGAAGAAAGTCCTGGGCCGCATCGACAAAGATGGTGATGGCAAGATGAACTTTAAGGAGCAAAAAAAGAAAGGGCAGATTGGGATTGAAGCAGCCTGGCTGGTGTTTTTTCCATCACTTTGAAGTTTTAAACATCAAATGGGGTCCCAAACATGGAAAAAAAGAAGGGGACCCGGTTAACCCGTTTGCTATTGAGATTTCGAATTATACAGAGCTCCATGCCCATGATTTCCCATGATTTCCCATATGAATGGTGGGATGAACATCAGCTACTTTGATTTTTCATCAGCAGCTACTCTTGATCCAACTCGCGACATGGGGATGAACTATCGCCCAGCCACGAGTCGATGAACGTGCCACAGGGGGGTCAGAATTGCTACAAAAAGGGTACCGTAGAGACTCTTTCGCCGTCAAAGTTTGGCCCTTGAGCTGTTTCTGCCAGGAATTCTGCAAAATCATGGAAGGCTGAGCTTAGGGGCAGCAATCCAGCTACCTGTACATAATGAGCTTCTTCACACTTCAAAGCTATCATAGTTTTGAAGTGCTGATTTCCTCAAGGGAAAGATGCTGCTTGGAGGACTCTAGGATGATGGCCTGTGGAAAGTCCTTGCACATGGAAACCATGCATGCCATGATTCGTCCGGTGTGTGAAAGATGGCCAAACGATGGACGCTTTTGGTTGCAATATGAATGTCAAGACGAAGGCAGTTCCATTTTGTCAAAGAACTGGGAATTGTTGGCCTGCTAAGCTTTTGTCAAAATAATGGTGATGGCTCGAAATTGTTCACCCCAACTTTTGAGCCATTGCCGCAGTACCCCGGCTATGTCGAAGTCTTGGATTTGGATTTTTGGATGAACCTTCACCGCAGTTTCTATCAGCAGGTTCTTCAAAGGCTCGCGGAAAAGACCGGGCTTGGTCTTGGTGAAAGGAGAAACACCTTGAGTTAGGCATCGCCATCGGATTTTGTGTGTGCTTCAAGCCAAGCCCTGCGAATGTTTGGCCTTTTTCGGTGAGCCTCTTGTCTCACCCCTAAGATGTGGAGGATTCTGGTGATCTGGCAGTTGGAGCTGTTGGTTTCTGCGGTAGATCTCTTTCACGAGAGGCTGGAGGTGAATTCTGCGGGGAGCACGGTGCCAATCTCCCGGCCAGTCTTCCAAAGTCGCTTGGATGGTCAAAGTCCCATTCCATCCAATGGTCTGAATACGATTTTTTCTGCATCCGTCTATTCATTTACCGCATTTACCAAAGTTTTTGAAAGACATGTCCCATGGGTTAATCCAATATTTAGGGAATCTGCTGGTAATCAATATATTTATAATTATATATAATTATTTATATAGATACGTATTCTATTCTATTCTATTATATTTTATTATATGATATATTATATACTATATTATTATATTTTATTATACTATACTATATAATACAATTATAATATAATATTATATTATATATATATTGTATTACATATATTATATTATATTGAATTTATACTATATAAAATATTACATTATTTTGTATTAAATATTGTATTATATTATTTGTTTTATGGCCCCTTCAGCAAATCCACGCCTCTTATTCCTCTACTGCTTAGATTATATGCGCCGAGCGCACGATGAGCATCGTGATGTGACGGCTGAAGCGAGCGACACTGATCAGTTCAGGCTGCGCTTGGTAGCTGATTCTGTGGCTTGCCTGATTGAGAGCTCAGCATTGCGGTTTTTCATGTGTGTTTCGTATATGATACATATATATATATATAATTATATTTAACTATAATATAATATGTATATATAATATATAATGTATTATAATATATACTATATAATATAAAATACATAATACATAATACATAATATATGATATATGATATACAATATATGATATATGATATCTGATATATGATATATAACTTATAATATATAATATATAATACACAATATATAGTATATAATATATAATCTATAAAAAATAATATATAATATATAGTATATAAATAATATAATATATATATATATAGTATAATATATATATATACACAATATATAATATACATATACATATACATATACATACATACATATATATTATGATGTTTTTATCCCTATCAATTTTCCAGAGAATGTCCTTATGCCCCCAGATTCAGGTTGTCAAGAAGTCAGATTCCCTGGGTTTCCCACTAGTGAGTCAGTTAAGGGCCCTGAGACTATCAGGCTGTCAGGACTATTTCAAAATGTCAGGCCTTCGAAGGTCCAATTCCGCTTTCCAAATAGACAGTTCGGAGAAGCAGCGGCTGTGCTACTGGGTCATGTTCCAGAATATGAAATCAGTGAGGGAAAGGTAAGACAAAGCTGTATCTATATCACGAGATACTATGCTACGCAGCTACACCTGTAATCTGAAGAACCCCAAGTCCTGGGATTGGATGAACTACCACCGGTTCCCTGAAAGTTTTCCTTTGAAAGCCGCAGTGAAGGAGAGCCGCACAACGGATTTGGCCATCGCCACGCACTTCTGTGATGCCACATGGGCACCAGGTGCTCTGGCACTGGCGGCTTCATTGAAGAAAGCCGGCAGCAAGCACAATTTGGTGGTGATGATCACCAGCCCCTGGGTTCACTGGAAGCCATGGTTTCAATCAGTATATGTCAGGCTTTTCCTGTAAACTTTCACCCAATTGGGAGATGGGTTTTACCAACAATGGTGCCTTAATCAGGATCTAAGTATGGGATACTGTATATAATGTGGTCTAAACCAGCTCTGACGATGGTTATTTTGAAATATCAACCCACACTTCATGATGGTTTCGCATGATTTACCTGGGAATCTTTGGGGAATGTACAGTTGTTTTAAGGCCATCTTAGCCAAGCCCATTTTTAGCCTGGCCTTGACAGCAATGGATCCCATGGATGTCCCAAAAAAAGATAAATTTTAAGGGGAAAGCTCTGAAAAGAATCCGTGGATCGACATGGTGCATGGGGCCGCACTTCGAAAGCATCCTGGTTTGGGCCGACTTTGAAACTTTGGTCTTTTTGATCGAGTTTCAAACGAGGTGATCTTAGCAATCGCTACCAGCGTTTGCTTGCTCACGTCTTTGACAAGGCGCAGAGATGGCGTGGAGTCAGTATGGAGGTCAATCCACTAGAAATATCCATGGTTTCTGTAAAACTATTTGATTGGCGTGCTGCTTGTGCTTTCAAGCATTTATTAATTCAATGTTTTTTTTTTCCATGTTTTTCCCATCCCTCGAAATGGACGAATTCACTCGTATTCCCGATTTCCTCCCATCGTTTCGTGAGGTCTATGTGGAAGAGCCTGTGACACCACATGCGTCCATCACTCGCGCTGGAGCAGATTGCGTGACGCTGCAATTGAGATCATGGCAATTGCCATATAAAAAGGTCTTGCACCTTGGCCTACCATCAAGCAATATCCATCAATATCCATTAATATCCATCAATACCATTCAATACCATCAATTAATAAGGAGGGCTATTTATTTTTATTTTTTTCGCGGCAGGTTTTGGATTTTTTTTTCTGCCTCCTGGTTCTATGCTTTCCTGTTTCTCTGATTTTCTGCTTCTCTGCTTTTCTGCTTCTCTGCTTTTTTGCTTCTCTGCGTTTCCTGCTTCTCTGCTTTTCCTGCTTCTCTGCTTTTCTGCTTTTTGCTTTCCCTGCTTCTCTGCTTTTCTGCTTTTTTGCTTTTCCCGCTTCTTTGGTTTCCTGCTTCTCTGTTTTTCCTGCTTCTCTGCTTTTGTACTTCTGTGCCTTTCTACTTCTACTATTCTCCTGTTTCTTTCTCCAGTCATGTGTTTTTGCTGCTCTACTTCCTGCTCCTTTGCTTCTTTGCTTCCTGTCTTTACCGTCTCTTTGTTTTTCCTTTTCTTTTGTTTTATTCTGTTCTGTTTGTATCCTGAATGAAACCCTAGAGAGACCCTAGGTGAAATCCAAAGAAACCCTAAAGAAATCTTGATAAGAAACCCTACATGAAGCCCTAACTGAACCCTAAAGAAACCATAAATGAACCCTAAAGAAACCATAAATTAATCAATCCTAAAGAAAAGATAAATGCAACCCTAAAGAACTTTAAATGACACCCTAAATGACATCCCAAAGAAACCCTAAACAACACATTGAAAAAAAATAAATGAAACCTCAACTGACACCTTAGCTGAAACCACCCTAAAGAAACCCTAAATGACACCCTAAATGAAACCCTACATTGAAACCCTAAATGAAACCCTACAGAAACCCTAAATGAACCCCCAAAGAAACCCTAAATGACACCCTAAATGAAACCCGAAAGGAGCCCTAAAGGAACCCACTTGAACGTTTAGAAATCGTGAAAAGAACTCCTGATAAGAAACCCTGGGATGAAACCCTAAAGACAGCTTAAACGAACTCCTGAATGAAACCTTAAATTGAAACCCTAAACCCTAAAGAAACCTTAAATGAAACCCTAAAGAAACCCTAAATGAAACCCTAAAGAAACCCTAAATGAAACCCTAGAGAAACCCTAAAGAAACTCTAAATGAGACCCTAAAGAAACCTTAAATGAGACCCTAAATGAAACCCAAACTGAAACCCTAAAGAAACCCTGAATGAAACCCAAAATGAAGCCCTAAATGAAACCCTAAATGACACCCTAAACGAAACCCAAAAGAAACTCTAAAGAAACCCTAAAGAAACCCTAAAGAAACCCTAAATGAAACCCAAAAAAAGCCCTAAAGAAACCCATTTGAACGTTTAGAACTCCTCATAAGAAATCCCGATCAGAGACCCTACATGAAACCGAAAAAAAAAACCTAAATGAAACTTTAAAGAAGCCCTAACTCTAAAGAAACCCAAAAACCGTAAAGAAACCTTAAATGAAACCCTAAAAGAAACCCTAAAGAAACCCTAAATGAAACCCTAAATAAAACCCCAAATGAAACCCTAAATAAAACCCTAAATAAAACCCCAAATGAAACCTTAAACGACACCCTAAATGAACCCCTAAAGAATCCTCAAGAGACCCACATGAACCTTTGAAGTACCAAAAATGTAGCAAATACCGTGGAAAATACCATGCAAAATAGAAGGCGAACATGGCCAAATGTAGCAAATACCATCCAAAATGCAAAGTGACCATGCCAAAATGTAGCAAATACCATGCAGAATGACAGGTTCTAGTTCCAAACTGTTGCAAATACAAGGCAAATGGTACCAGGAAAGAAAACCAACAAAAAATCCAAGACCTGAGGCAAACAAATACCAAAAACTATTCTACACCCAATTAATAATCCTATCATCAATATTGATGTACCAGACCTACCATCAATATCCATCATGCCATCTTTTTTGGCAGATGTGGATGTGTTAGGATACCCCCTATTTATGGCCGACTTATTGGGGAAAATGGTGATCAACCATGGGAATTTGGGGTTGTATATTCTATTTTCAGACAAAGCCAGGTTCAGACTTGGCATCAATCATGATCCATCCCAACTAACCGAGACTCTGCCGTGGGGATTGGAAGGCAGTTCCTCTAAAAACCACAAGAAAAGGGACACCAGTTTTTGCGTCCAATAGATTCCAATAGCATTTTTGAAGCATCGAATGCTGGACGGCCATGATTTTTACATTGAATCCCAAATGACGACGACATCCAATTTTCAGCATGTGTTCAGATCTATGAAGCACATGGCTGTGGATGATTAGTTGAGTTGTCTTTGGGGCTCAGGTACATGGATGCAGATATGCCGCCTGGATGAAGCTCTGGATGAGGCTATGGAGGGTATAGATATCTCCCAGTTATACACTTATACTATCTATATGGTATAATATCAAGAACTCTGGATTAGTAACCCCCTGGGCTGTTTATAAAGTTGAGGGTAGCATTTTAATGACAGATTCTCTTTAATGACAGATTGTCACTATAATATATATATATAGTTATATATATATTATAATTATTACTATACATATATATATAATTATTATATATATATATGTATAGTCATAATTATAATATATATATAATATAATAATATATATATATGATATAATATGTATATATTTATATAGATTAATATTTGGGAGGTACCTCCAAATTAATCCACCAGGGTTTAGCAAACTGGCATCTCTAGAAGAGCAGAAGAGCTGTGGGTATGCCTCAAACTGGGGTACCCAATCCCACTTTTGGTTTATCCTGTATGAATAAAACGGCAATTTGTGGGGTGATCCCCCACTATGAGACTCAAACATCTGGCTTTGTCCAAGAATTAGGGCACAACAATGGGCGTTCATCTGCGGAAATTCATTTAAAAAACCAGGAACACCATATTATTGCATATATATATATATATATATGATATTATGATATATATGATATTATGATATAATCCATGTCTAAGATGTTATCCGTTTTTTTCGAAAGCCCATGACCAGTGAGATCAAGCCCCAGACCGAGGATTGCTCTGAAGAGTCACGACTCCGTGCTGGAGGATTACGCAGAGCTCTCAGCCCGAAAAGACGCCGGCCTGGCAGCGCAGTCGCCTGACGCCCAAAGCGCAAAAAACGGGCCTGGCATGGGATGAAATCCACCATTTGATGGGATAACTATGGATAAATGGCGGATAAATGGCGGATATCACCAATAGCTGGGGATGATTATAATGCAATGACTAATCTCAATTGAATGTAGGATGAAACTTTCCGCTTTTTGTGCGGACATACTGGGATTTTTCATGGGGAGCCGGCTCTCAATTTAGAGAAAACTAGGGTTTAAACCAATGGACTTTAGATGATTTTAGTGTATCTGAATTGTTGGAGACGCCCCAACATCTGATGGGCACACCACTCGTGTGGGGTATCATTGGGCTGATTCGAAGGAGAATCTGCAGGACACCAAATGTAACTGGTTTCTGGGGGACATTGCCCTGAACAAAAATTCTGGGTGGGCGGGACAGCTCAAGATAGACTGGCTGAACTTGCTAAAAAAGCACTTACACATGGTCAAAGCTTGGATTTGTCAGACTGGGGGAATCCACAGAACCCATTTGATTGGTGGTTTCACACAATTCTTATCTACGATTATACCACATGTATTTCAATGCCAGAATTCGCTTTCGGAGCCTTGTATCCTTTTGTCGAATGTCCCAACCCCAGGTTCAATGGTGGCATGTTTATCATTGAGCCAGCGGAGTCCAAGTTTCAAAAACTACGACGCTTGTTGCTTGACGTGAAGTTCTTGTGGGCCTAAAGGAATCTTGAAGCACAGCTAGCGCGGAGAGTAGTGAGGTCTATGGGAAGACTGATGCAGAGCATTGCAGAGCATAGTCTTGCAGATGAAAACAGCTTCGCAGCTCCGCAGGTTTGCAGCTACTTTCGGTGAGTGGTTTCAATTACCCTCTGGTAATTTAACGGGCAGGACTGAGGGTTGTCCCGGAATGGTCGTATGAACGTCAGTGGGAGGCTCATTTCTCTGCGCAGGTGCAGTGTTTTATGACTCTGGTACATCTGTGAGTTAGCGTGGTCTAAGACGAATTTTTGGAAAAATCAGTCAGAAAAGTGAACCCTCTGCGGACTTCAGGCGTTTCGGCCATTTCCACTTTTTCAATCTTTTCGACTTTTTTGGCGAGTCCGGATTTTATAACTTATGTAAACCCTAAATGAAACACCTATATAATAGAAGTATGCGTATATGTTCCATGGGGCCGGGGGATTTTATAACTTATGTTATACCCTATATGAAACCCCTAATAGGAGGTATGCGTATATGTTCCATGGGGCCGGGAGATTATGACAAGGACATGTTATGACAAGGAAATCCCCTAGCACTGGAATGATGGAACCAATGGGTTGCTAGCTCCGCTCTCGGGTATGGCCCTCCGGGCCATACCCTCGTCCTGTGGGTAATTTAACATAGCTATTGAAAATGACCATTTATAGATATTTATAGTGGATTTACCCATTGAAAATGGTGGATCTTCCCATAGTTTTTTGTATGTTTACCAGGCCGGGTCTCCTCGATTTTGGATGCCTCCTCTGAGGCTGAGACAAGCGCCACAGAATGCTGGTTTTGGTGGCATCCAGTGGCCTGTCAGATGTCAATTTCGGGGCTGTCTGAAAATTTGGAACCCCGGAGAATTCCATTCTTTATCATGGTTTATCATGGTTCTGTCATGGTTTACCATGAGTTTCCCCATTAAGATGTTAATTTCGGGAGCAACAAACTCACTTTGAGGAAGTCTTACAGTGCACTTTTTTCAGCATTCTTCAGCCTTCTTCATGGGTGTGTTTGGAAATGGGGTATATATTATACGGTATACTGTATACCACCAAAATGATCAAAATGCAAATTCCAAAAGGGAAAACACCTTCACGAGCTACCGCAATGGCTTCTTGTTACTCAAGATGACTCCACCGTGGCATACTTAGGATTCCAACGATATGTGATACATATGTAATAAAGCCAATGCCATAAACCAACCCCTTTTTTTATATACCATAATAGGGTGGGATTGAAGTCATCCCCAGCTGTTTCTGGTCCCAGGTCCTTTCTGAACCAAGCCTTTCCAGCCTGCGAGCGAGAAGATGATGAGGATGTAGGATGTTGGAAAAGCGAGCTGCCGGAACCTCGTCGGACGATGGGATCCCTGGGGATGATGGGAATATTTTAGTCGGAATATCCCAGTGGGCCTTCTGGGCTGGGGGTTTCCTAAAATGGAAGCCCAAAATCATGAGTTAAAGGACATGTTTACTAGGGAAACCATGGGGAACCCCCATGGTTTCTGATGGTATCCAGGTTATATCCCGGGGAATCCAACCAACTCCATCAGCCAAGCTTTCGTTCGCTGAGGACGCCTACAACAAATTTACCCGGAACGTTGATGCCGTTGAGCTCCAGGCGGAGAAATATGCCCCTTGGAACAGCACGGGATCACTGTCGATGCTTGATTTTAAAAGTGACCTTTGAGGGTGATCAATTTCTGCAGAGCTGCTGAGTCTTTGAGTGTTGCCGCTGTTCTCCTTGCCTTTTTCGGGCATTTTTTCGGGCAGTGTTTCATCAATGTCCAGCAGCATGCAATGCATATTGCTGCTGTACAGCAGGAGATTTATTACCAGAGATAAATACCAGGATCCAGCATTCATCTGGATAGATTTGAACGGCCTCACTAGGACATCACTGGAATGATGGATAATAAGGGGAATCATCCCCAATTAGCTTTATTTCAGGTTCGTGAATCATTTATATTATTATTACATATTATTACTATATCTTATATATATACTGTAGTTGTTCCAGATTAATCCACCATTCACCCAGCATTCATCCAGCTTTTCTCCGAGGCCAGTTTGCACTTCAGTGGCGACTGGGGAGCCATGCGCAAGCCTTGGATGTCTGGCTGTTTACAGTCCTCTGACTCTGTGACGCACAGCACAGACTCCACACTGCTCCTTGGAGAGCGAGGATGGATGGATCGCAGGCCCCAAGAGTTATGGCCATTTTGCTGGGGAAAACATGGGAAAACACACACACACATATACATATATTATGTCTATGTATGATTATGTATATGAACATATTATGAGGCTTGAAACTCTGGATTTTGGAGTACGCGGATTTTTTGTTTGGACAAAGCCCAGCTGGATTTCTCAAGTTCTGACGAAGAGGATAAAGGATTCATTCAAGACAAAGCTATCCCATCCGCACTTTTGGACTGGGCTCCAACAACTGCAGCCATCTGAGGCAAAGTAAGCTGCTGGGTCTTTGGATGGATGCATTCCACTATGTCTCAGTTCCTCCAGATTTGGCAGACCTCTTGCACACAGATTGTCCCGCTGAAGGTCCATGAGTCTTAAAGGAGGAAAATGTGTGCGATGTGCAGGGTCAGTGTATTTTGCGACGTCAGCATTTTTTCAATCTGCATGCCTTGCACACCCGGGAAAAATTGAGAAACCAAACTTCGAAACTTGAGCCAAGAACTCTGACCATTTCGTTGGTCTCCGCAGCTGCAGTTGGATTTCACTATCATGACAACCCGGCCTGACCAGCAAGGATACAACCGCTTGAATCGGGCATTGATAGATGATTTCCCAGCTCTAAACCTCCATTTAGTTCGGGGATTTCCCAGCTAGCCATGTTTGAAATACCCTTCCGGGTAAGTTTGCTTAAAAGTTTGCAGTTTCAGCTTAGGGATCCGAAGAGCCGGCGTTACCAAGGCCCCATTTCACTTAATTAAGAGCAGCAGAATTGTCAAGTGGGAACATGCAAAAACCATGAACCATGCGACCTTGGGACTGGATTTTGCAAAGCCCCAGAATTTGCCAAGTCTGTTTTGCTTCTTGTTCTTGCAGCGTTGGAACCCCTGATCGCCCGACTGGGTGTCAGCGTTGCCGCTCACGGCACCCATGGCACACTGGGCACGTTGCACTGCCAGACGGAGAAAAACTCCGTGAGAAGAGGCCGCTGTGACAGCGGAATTTGGCCATTTGGCCCGGGGTATTTGGAATGATGCGACGATGCGAATATCATGGGAATCAGGGAATCAAATCAGAATCATCCTGGGAATGGGACTATAGTGACTATACATTCGGAACACTGGGAGCATGGGAAAATTTCCTCTGTGTCAGCTCCCCACTGGGCGAAGGCAATGAAGGCGAGACCCAAGTCCCTCGCCTTGGCGAAGTTCCAACAAGCGGGGCAGCTGACCATCGCCAAGAACAAGCAAACTAAGGCGCCATGGATCTGGCCGCAGGGGATCCGATGGGATTTTTGGGGGCCCAGGGGGGCCCAAAAAACGTGGTGGGAAAACATCGGGGTTTGATGGTTTAAGCATGTTTAAGCATAAGAAGAAATAGGATGTTTTGAGATGGATATGGATTTAGATGGCTGTGATGGGGGTGGTGAAGTGTGGTGAACGTTTTGTTGTGTTGAAAGATGGTCAGTTGGATAGAGGAGAAATCGCCCCTAGTGACATTTTCATGTGCATCTGATGATATCAGGCTGAATCCAAGAAGGACAAGGGCATCGATGTGATCCAGCCACAAACTCAGAAAGTCCGTCCAGAGACGGCTAGAGGTGATACTTTTAGTCTTGAGTCTTGTGATTGACAGGTTCATTGTGTGTGAAAAGCATGAAAAGGCTTGTCTTTGTGCAAAGAGTGCCTGATTTCTCACCACCTCCATATCTTTCAATATCAGTGTGTGATAGTATGTATACACATGATAATAATAAGAATAATGATCATGATAATGATAGTAACAATAGTACATGATATGATTATGTTTGTATGTATCCTATTATATAAATAAACAATCCCCGCAAAAAACCGGACCCCCCAAAAAGTCCTGTCGTTGTTTTAAAGCCATCAGCTTTCCATGGATTCCGTTCAACCAGGGTGGGCTCTATCGCCTCCGCTGCCTTCCTGGTGCTATGGATCATCGCCTCGACCATGGTCAGTGCCGTGTTCACGGTGCGATACATGGGCATTGTGGAGGTGTGGCTGGGCCACTGCCATGGGATGCCATGGGATTGTATGGGATGCCATGGGAGTCACTGATCTGGAGAATCTTTCTGGAGACCTGATCAAGCACAGAAAACCAGATACCCTCTGGTGAACATACAAAAAGCAATGGAAAATGGCCATAGAAATAGTGGATTTTCCCATTAAGAATGGTGATTTTCCATTGCTATGTTAGTTCACCAGAGGGTAAAATGATGGATCTGATCTCTTGAAAGTGCAATGGGAATGAGCCGACACAATCGGGTGCAGTCCTATGTCGAGACAGGTTTCATCCTCAAACTCTATCTATCACAGAAAATGATGGCTGAAATATTGGTAGAAGCATCAAAGATGCAGGTTAGGGAGCTTGAATATAACTTATCATTGGATTGTGAATATTGTTTCATGTCCCCATTTTCTGCCGATGAACCCCCCATTTTGGTTGGTAACTCCCAGTTTCTATTGTCTCAACTCTAAACGAAAACCCTTTTTTTGGTTGACCCCCGATTTGTTATGGTAAATCATGATAAACCCCTAAGTTTTCACGGTCACAAGTCCCATAATTATGGTTTGGTCATCACATAGTGCCGCACCTTCGCAGGAAGACCAAGCCTGGTATCTGCTGGAGGGTTCGGCCCGCACAGCTGCAGCGGAAGCCAAAGCTGTGATGGCCACTGCCATGCAGGCACGTAGTTTGATGGGCCCCTTATACTAAAAACCAGTGGTATACCAGTGGTATATATATATTATATGGCTATGGCATGCTATGGCTACCTTGGTGGAATTTATGTGGCTTCGAAAGTTTTTCCCCAAAAAAAAATGGTATGGCAGTAATGGGATTTTGATGCATCCCCGTTGGGATTTACCACCACCCAACGGGGATCCGGGACCAGCTTGCTTCAGGGTACATGGAAAAAGCCAGGCGAAGTCTGATTTGATTGCAGCCATCGACCATGGCCTCATCAAAACCAGCTACGACTATGCGGCCATCGAGAGCACCTTGGTGCCCACCATGGCCCTGCCGCTGGGGTCGCACATCAGATGTGGATGTGGGGACTCTTAAGGAGTATCAGTTTGATCCATTGCTGGGTGAAATGTTGGGTATGTATGGATATGTTGGATGAAATGCTTGGTTCCCATGGTTGAAAAACTGAGATCTGCATAACTTTGGATTCTGCGACTTGTTTGGTAAGCCCAAGTCAATATTTTACCCTGTGACATCCACAAGTGACATTCATCCCAGCAGATGGACCTTAGGAAGCCTTACGTCCACTCCTTCGAGATGATCTTTACAGACCGACAGGCTGGTCTCAAGATCGGTCATCGAGAGGAGGAGTTCCGGGGGAAATCCAGCTGGGCCCATTCTGAAGTGAAGATGGAGGATCTAGGAATCTAGGGTCCTGAAATGATTGAGTACAGTATGTTTTGAAACAATTTTATCGAATCGATCGGATCGATCTGGAGCTTTTTCATATTGGCGAACTTCAATGGTAGGTCGTTTTTTTGCACATCTCACAAGGAGAACGGCCGCCAACTTCTGCTTCAATCCAATGGAGCGGATTGCTACCTGCTTGGAACACAGGCAGCTTGGGCCATTGGCAAAGGTCGGATTGAAAGTTCTTATTGAAAATTATTGAAAGTATGTGCCCTCCGGTAAGAAGAAAACCCTTATCATGGAGGTTTATAGCTGGGAAAATCAATGAACGTCCATAAAATGATATATTTTCCATTGACATGTTTGATTACCACTTTCCGTTCCTCAGGGCTGTGCTGATCTTGGAGTGCCGCAGAACAAGTTTCCTGCCACTCGGCCGCAGAACGGAACCAACTGTCAGCGAGTTGCATTGATTTTGGGTAAACCCTACAACCCAAAACATGCAGTGTTGTCGGCTGTTTGCAGCAGTAGAGTAATGTTACATCGACAATAGTAAAGGCCCCCCCCCCAATTTTTGTTTTTTTAAGGGGGGGGTCTGCTTTGCAATAGTAAATCGAAAATCTCAACTCTTCCCCAAGGCTTCTGTAAGGTTTCGACAAATCCTCTCTTTTCTGATAGGCTTTGGTGAGAATCACAATTTAAAACCATTCAACCACAATTAAAAACACTAAGGAAGAAGGGAAAAAATACAGCTAGAGCCAGAAGGGTTGTTTTTTATTGCAAGTGCTAATTCCAATTTTTAATTGCAAATGCAAGGGCCTGCAAGGGGGTACCCTTTGTGGACCAGTTTTTTGCATTTTTTAAATAGGATTTTAATAAAGAAAACAGCTTTTTTGAACAAGGTAAAGTTGTTGATGTGGTAAAGGTTTGCTTTGTTTTTTTCTTTTAAAAAGCATGCAATCACAATTTAAAACCATTTAACCACAATTAAAAACACTAAGGAAGAAGGGAAAAAAAATCAGCTAGAGCCAGAAGGGTTGTTTTTTATTGCAAGTGCTAATTCCAATTTTTAATTGCAAATGCAAGGGCCTGCAAGGGGGTACCCTTTGTGGACCAGTTTTTTGCATTTTTTAAATAGGATTTTAATAAAGAAAACAGCTTTTTTGAACAAGGTAAAGTTGTTGATGTGGTAAAGGTTTGCTTTGTTTTTTTCTTTTGAAAAGCATGCAATCACAATTTAAAACCATTCAACCACAATTAAAAACACTAAGGAAGAAGGGAAAAAAAATCAGCTAGAGCCAGAAGGGTTGTTTTTTATTGCAAGTGCTAATTCCAATTTTTAATTGCAAATGCAAGGGCCTGCAAGGGGGTACCCTTTGTGGACCATTTAAAATCAATAGGGGCTGAAAAATCAGATTCTGAAAATTATTTGTAGCTATTGCACGCGTTTTCCTATTGTCCATCCAACATTACTGACAGTACAATACGAAATGCGTTTGTCATGATGCAATCCCCCAGACGGATTATAAGGATTCCCATAATGGAATGGATGACCATAAACCATTCATCCCATCAATATTGACTAATCATGGCACGATATGTTCGTACATCATGGTACATCTCCATTATTATATCCTGATTACATCCCATATCCTGCAGAGATGTTGAGCTGTTTCACCAAGGCATGGCAAGCCGAAGCCATGTATCTGAACCTCAGCTTTACAGGCGGGACCCTTTTTATTTTTGGCAATTTATATGGGCAAATGATGATGATACACCCTTGGATTATTTTGAGGTACCCTATTCTTGGATTATTTTTTTTTCCGAATTTCTTGCCAATCGAGGATTTCAGACGTGGGCCTATGGCATAGTATTTACCAGATCTAGTTGATTTGTTGAACATTCTATTTTCAATTATTAGATCTGGTATTCAATAGCTGAAACAGTAACTTAGATAGTTTATTCTAAAAGTATCTAAAAGTATTACCTTAACTTACTGGTGGAAACTTTTAGAGATAAAGGACGGTTGTGTTGAATCGCTGTTGCCGCTGTTGCCACAAAGGCTCTCGGCCCAGAAGTCATTTAAAAGGATGTCCAATGGTCGGCGTATTCTTCCACTCAGCTCCAGCAGGTTTTTCGACTGATTTTAGTCAATTATCAATGATCAGTCATTATTATAGGCTCTTAGTGGCTCATCCTCAGCTATTGTTTCGAAGCCAGAGGTGATCGAATAGCACCCCACCAGGGGACTCAACTCAAAAAAAACGATTGAATTTGGACTTCTGCGTTGAAGCCATGGGAGAGGAGGCAGCACAGTTGATCATCAATGCATTTGTTGCACCTGGGCAGAAGTTGTGTCTCAGTAGGGTTTCTTATCGGGCCAGGGGGATGGATCAAAAGCTATCAAAAGCTATGATACCATATAACTTGAGGGATGAACATCCATGAACATATATCCTGATTTATCAGCTTGACAGCTTGACATATGTTGACGTTGCGGGAATTGCATGGCTTTTCACATGTTTTCACCCATAGGAGGTACATGGTTTTGGGATTTTGCCAGGGATCTGATCCCAGTCCGCGGTTTTTCTGTTTAAACGTTTGGTAATACGTTTGGCTTTTTGCATTGTAACATATTGTAATACTCTTTGAGGGACCCTTAGTTTGGGCGGGTTTTGCCAGTTTGAAGGGCAAAAACTGCGTTTGGATCCATTTGGGTTTCTGCAAGTCTAGCCCAGTCTAGCATGTAAATTCCTGCATTGATCACAGTGCTCGAGCATTGCAAGGATGGTTTGGCGAAAGGCCGAAATTTGCCTTTGCTGCTCGAGCATTCCAAATCCGGCGTGACCAGCACTGTCCAGTTCCTTGCACGCGAAGCCTAGCATCAAAGCCCAGACATTTCTCATGCCAACGCCAGTGGAAGTCAGGATGGACAAAGCCCGTACTGCTTTGTGACTTGGCTCAGCAATGCTCAGCCACTGCACTCATCCATGTACAGATGTGGGTGCGAGTGGATGTCAAAACTTGGCAGGTTTTGACGTCTTTTTGATTTTGTTGTGGAAGTATCAATTCGGCGGAGGCCTTTAACATGTCCATGTTTTCCTAGTACAGCATGGAGTTGAGAATTATTGATTTGATCCAATGTCCGTGCTGTTTTGTGTGGCCGCAGTCTTCTGCGATTTATTTGCGGTTACCTCTTTGCATTGCTTGAACATCTTGAAAGGAACCCCCAAAGGAATGCGTTTTTAGTATTACCCTCCAGTAAATTAACATAGACCCTGGTAGATAGGGGTTGGAAGACTAGTTTCCACTAAAAATGGGTTATTTTCAGGGTCAACAAGTTAATTTACCAGAGGGTATTTTACATTCTTTTATGGTATCGTTCAATGGAAAATCCTCCATAGATGTTTTTTCCCAGCCACCAGCTACGGCTCCAGGTCAATTCGCGCCAATGGCCGCGTGCAGCGAGTGCCTTTCGAAAGCATCATGCAGCGTCTTGGACCGAACGCGAGTTGCCCACGATTGGGTCCCTTGAAGATCCTTGAAGCATGAAATAGGGAAATTTATCGTGATAAATTGTGATTGTAAAAGAGGATTCAACTTTTGGGTTACCCAACTGACAACCGAAGGAACTTTGTAAACCACCCAGTGAGTTTGTTGGAAGAATGGCAAAACAGCCGGTCTCCTAGTTGCCAGCTGATGCATAGTCAAGGATTTCGGTGGGTGCGGAAAAAGCTGTGGATGCTTGGCTACAACTGAACCACGATGATTGTGGACACGATTCGACAAGAGCCCTGAAATGAGGTGCAACCAATGCAAAATTCAGATGCGGCAGGTCACAAAGAAAGATGAATTTGAACGTGTTTGAAACGGCATCTCCACATTTTCATGACACATTTCCGTCAGATTTTCGTCTCACGTTTTTCAATGCAGCGGATTTACAGTGCTTCCAAGGACTTTGACCTGCCTCTGCATGATCTTTGTGTTGCCTTACTCCTGGAAGACGACGCTTGGAGTGTCGAATGGAGGTTTCCTAAGTCATGTGGGTACCCCATGGTGACTTGGGGATCCACTATTTCAAGAACCGTCCTAATGATTGGAGGAATCAAGCCACAAAATGGTCATTCAAGTGGTTGAATCGGAGATTCCTGGAATGTATATTATATATATACGGTATATATAATATAAGTATATATATATATAATATTATATATTTATATATGGATATGTGGGAATGTTCTATCTGCTTTTTTTCAATCTGTTTGACCGGATTGGATGACAGCTTTTGATCCATGTGCAAGTGAGCACCCACTGATTCCACTGATCCATACGGTGGTTTCCATGGGGTACCCCCAATAGCTGGATGATTTCGAATGGGAAATCCCAAACAGAAATGGATGATGACTGGGGATAGCCCTATTTTAGGAAACCACCATTTCTATCCATTTCTTGATCCTGAGCAGGAACAGACCATCTATGCCTTTGAATTCGAAGATGATGAGGCCCAACTCCGCAGACACTGGATGTTGGATCACAGCTGTCACCGCCAGGCCCGCGACACGTTCGCGCTATGTTTGGGTATGTTCGTTGACCAGAGACGATCTGAAGCTGAGGTGCCGGATGGTTCCGAGGGGGGGAACACAGTGAAAAAAACACTTAGACCTTAGACTCCTGAATTTGGATGTAGCCTCCCCGTGTCATCGTGGCAGTGGAAAATCATGAAAATCCAAATGGAGGTTAAAAGATGGGAAAAAGTACCTACAAATAGTGGGATTTTCCAGCAATCCATTTTTGAGTACTGGAGGCTGGGTCCCATCGAATGAGGATTAGAATTGACCGGGCTCTGGAAATCCCATTGTTGATCATCATTTTTCCATGTTTTTCCCATCAAAGCGGTCATAAATTGGAAGGGCCCATCCCATTTTTAAGCCATTCTGATCATTGCAGGCAGAAGAGCCACCGCCGCTGATCGAGTCAAGGTCTTAGGATGAGTGAACCATGTGAATCAGCTGTGTCATGGGACATTTTTTGAAATATGGGTATACCATGGTATACCCGCTAATCTCAAATGGCAATTTAAACATCTAAAATCATTTGGATATATTTGGATCATCTAAATTTAGATCTCTATGATTTACGCATTTCATTCAAATTCTATCTTTCAGGGGGTTGCCACTGGGTTGGCAGAGGTCGGGACCACCTGCCGCGCTGCCTTCAGTACCCCGACAGGCGCGATGGATGGAAACTGAGAGAAATCTCTCTATATATAATTATATATATATATAGATATAGATATAAGTATATATAAATAAATATATAATTAAGTTATATATAAACTAAATTCAACTAGCATATTATGTTAGTGACAAGAAGCAAAGAATTGGACTGGAATCATGGAAACATGATGGAACATCGATTTTTTCACCCTCATCTGTATGTGTATATGTAAATAAGCATGTCCAGAATCATATGCACCATTCATCCTGAATCATGTTCGTCCATAATGCATACTGGTGTTTCACTGAATTCGAGTGTTACCACTTTTCAGCATTAGTTTCCCCAATAAAAGTGCCCAATCACTTGGACTAATTGGGATGATCGCTTCGGTTTTTCATCTTAAAACCACCCCAGGGCCATCATATTCAAGTATATTCCCATCACAATCCCAGTAATTCTATTCCTGTTATTGAATCGGTGAGATTCCCACATATTCCCATATTCCCATAGGATCCATGTATGGTATATATGCTAACATTTGGGGTATATTTATGGTAAATGTTAGCATATATACCAGCACCATGGATCCTATGGGATTTAAATTGATGCCCATGGCATCCCGTGATCACATCCCCATCGTCCCTTCATCATCCCATCGGCCGTGGTTGGCTCATGGTATCCCCCCAAATCATCCCATCCCGAAGATGCCACCATGGTTTCGAACGGGGGTGTTTAATAAATGGGGGATGGGATGAATTGAGCGAGAATGAATAGTTCTAAATCACATGACATATCAATATCCCATTATAGTTTATAGGTATATATATCCCAATAATAGAACAACCAATTATTATTTAATATCCCAATATAGTTGATAGATGTCAATAGTTATGTACCCCAATGACCATACTCATGATTCATATCCCCCAACAACGGTTGCGAATTGATATCGGTCCCTAATTGCCAGACTGCCAGGTGCCTAGCCGTCCAAAATCGGTGCCTCTTGACCCCATGGGTTGCTTGGACTTAGTAGCTGCGACTTTCATTTCTCAGCTCTTTTTCGTGTTTCATTGCAGCTGCACTTGCTTGGAGAATGTATGAACATGTCACATGTTTATCATTTCTGATATCTTGGTTTGCAAAAGAGCAGTTATGTGAAGTTCTTCTACTGGGTGTTCTTTCAGGAACTGCTAAATCGACTTAGCCTGTCTCAGCCTCTGAGTGTTTAACCTCGCTGGCTTGCTTTTTTCAACTGCCAACAAACAATTGAGTCTTGCTAAACCGTGAGGCGCAGTACCTGTAGGTCATTTGAGTCAGTCGATTCTGCTGGAAACGGGCTGTGGTATGAGATAGCTACCATATTAGGGGGACAGCGGTTTCCAAGGGAAAGGCCCCTGCTGAGTATTTGCACAATCTAAATCTAAAGATATCTAACGATACATAGAATCGCACTCAATGGAGCCATTTTCAGTGTGCAACATGTCAATATATGTCAATGTGTTTCCGGCCATGTTTTGCGGGATGTTTAACCACAGCATCACTTGAAGAAAGCTTGGCTCCGGTGTCCTCATGGCACTGCCAAGGCTACCCACAAAGCTCTGCTCGTGGGGTGCCCGGGCAAGAGGCATGGCCGGGACTTTCTGGTTATGAGGACCATTATGACCATTTCAGTCTGATTCATCTTGTACTGGTATCCTCTGGTAATCAAACGTGATAGATGACTTTCCAATTTTACGCTCCATGATTAGAGGATGTCCCGTTGCCTTGTTTGATTGCCGAAGGGTCGTTATTTTGAACATAATACATCACATCACAATACATCAAAATACCATTTTGGTCCCTTAAGTTTGTGTGTGACGAGCTGGCTCTGCGGATGAAAAGATGGCTGAAATCGGCCACACTTGCTGTGCCTTGCTGTGTGACTTCTCGTCAGGCATATCAAGACACTGGGGAGGCCTCGGGACGGTGATCCGGTGAAGGTCCCAAGTTGACCATGACCCACCGACCGGGGATGCTTGGGGATACTATCCAGTGGGTCAGTATGGGTCAGTCATCAGTTGGAGTAGCAAGCTGTCAGTTTTTTCGCTGAGCTTTGGAAACTTTTAGATTTGGCCGTCATTGACTGGGGATTACGTTGGGTACTCAACTACTCCATGACCTCAAACAACGCCGACTCGTGACGAGCTGGAAACTGGATACCAAAATCGGTTGGTATTTGTTTCGCCTCTTACATCATTTATCAATAAATCTTAATAATATATTGATCATTAAATAATTAATTGTATTAGGCCTCAAAAAATAGCCGTTTGGGGGGTATGAAAATGATGGTATCCTCCAGTGACAGGTGTGAACACAACGGACTCACTGGACCCGTGCTGTTTCGGAGAGACTTTGCTTAGTCTCATGGTACTTCTGACATAGATATTTAGTTTTATTTTAGTATATTAATATATGTTTTGATGTTATTTAGATTTATATAGTTACTGATTTAAATCACCATGTACATGAGTAAATCATCACACATCGTTGAATGATGTCTAATGAACAAGCGGACCATTTTCCATAGCTTCAAGAACCAGAGGAAAATGTTCCCAGATGTTTGCTCCAGGCCTCTGCTCGGAGTACTTCGTCGAAGAAGGACGAGTGCGGTTGTAGTCGTATCGTGCCCTTTTTGGATTGCGAAATCTTGCCTTAGACATCTTAGACAATGGACAATCCAAATGACTGGTGGCTTGTTCTGCAGAGGCTTCTATGCACTCCCCCCGTGCACAATGTGCATCCCACTAATAATTACTATCAGCATCATCATGGTCACAAGCAGTGGTGCCATCTTGCAATGGCAATGGCATCATGGCAGGAATGTAGGAGTGACTGTCAAGCATCAGCGATTAGTGAGACTTGGAGACCATGGTTCCTTCTGTTTGCCAGGAGCTGTCTGACGGACAGAAGTCCCTGACTCAGCTAATATGGTGCTGCTGGCAAGAAACGTCTTGAGATCCAAACATGTTTGAGGTAAGGGCTCACACGAAGATTAGGTCACCCCAAAATTTGCTGGTCGATAAAAACGAACCCATACCCACCCAATCATCATATAATGTGTTATCTTAAACTTATACATCATCAAATATTTATTGAAAATCCCATTATAGTTGCATTTCTGTTGGTTAAATCCCCTATGAAATCCCCATTGCCATACCGGTATCGTATCACAATCTCTCGATCTTGAGGATCGTGAAACGATTCGTCCAGAAGATGGTGAGAGGGCGAGAGTTAAAGATGCTTTCCACGACGCTCGGTGTTTGGGACATGATTCAATCCATGCAACAGAACATATCAGGACATAGCGTAACATCAATGTATTGTTTGCATGATATTACACCTGTGTATGCATTGTGTACATCAATATTAATTATCTAGATTTTGATATATACTGTACATAGAGTCATATAGAGACCATAGGTTCTAGAGAGGTGATATAGAGGTGATGTGATAGAAAACAGCCAGACTTGTTTCCTACTGAGGACAGGCAGATCCCTCCGTTGCCTTGTGGTGCTTGACCGTGATATCCGACACATCTCCATTCAGCTTGCTGGCAAGAAGGACAGCATGTGGCAGGATGCTATCCATCCCAAAGGGTGTAGGATTGAGATGTCTTCGCAAAGGTCTCAACATTGAACTGATGTTTTTTTTCCTTCTTGTGGATTTCTTAGAAACACCTGGTGGATCCTGGTGGTTTTACTGTTTCACAGCAGAACAACTTGCCACCCCATGGTATCCCGAAGTGCTGCCCGCCATGCTGAATGCCACTTTTCTGCAGGATGCAAAGCAACGCTTTGTAAACCTCAAGAGCATCGAACAGAGACCTGCTTGCAGATGTGATGGTCGATTGGGTTCGATATTGTTTGAGGCACGCAATACAATATCAACTGGCCGGTTCTGAAACTGCTGGTGAGACCTGCTACAGATTTGTTGAGACAGAAGCTACTTAGTTAACAGGATGGCACACTTCAAAAAGGTGCAGCTGTCAGAACTCTTAGATTGGCCAACAAGTGTCGAACTAAGCAAGAACAACGTTAAATGGCTTCGGAAGTGGATCAATATATCTATCCAATCAATCAGATTCTCAGATCTTTCAGACCCATGAGTTACTCCCCAGAATGATATTATCCTCCCCATTATTCTGGTTCTAGCATCCTTTTTTATCCTTTTTTTTGCTTTGTGGATCCTGAACCAGAAGGATTTTGGTCTTTCAGGATCTACGTGGGCCAGGATGTGGCGGAGATTGAGCTGGTCACCGAGCTGTCGGTGACCTTCGTCTTAGCACCTTGCTGCGTAGCACCGGTGCCACCGAAAAAAGACCAGCGAAGGGCGATGAAATCATGGGTAAAATGGGTGAATCCACCATATTTTTAATGGTAAATGATGGTAGATTATAGAATTATAGATAATTAAATGGTGAATCCAATCCACCAATTTTGATATATGTAAATGTAGAATGATGTAATAATGTAATATAATGTAGATTGTAAATAGATCATCGAAGTAATTTTATGGTGATTTGACAGTTTGCGAACTGGACAATCACCATGTTTGAATATGGTCAATAGATAGATCATTGAACTAAATGGGCCGTTTTCCATAGCGATGTTCAATTACCAGATGGTAGCTCCGATTTTATTGAGCTTGGAAGCTGATTCAAAGCTGGAAATACATGAACATATTGCATGAACATGTTTTTTCCTTGAAGTATGTTGATGATTTGATGTATTTTGCCAGAGATAGTTGGAGATGTTGGAGATTCCATTTTTTTTCGTAAGGTGTTGTATTAAGTAGTTGCCTCTATGACTAGTCCTCATATTTGGATTCTTTTTTGCCTTGGAACGGGGAGGAGGAACCATGCTTTTTCCTGCTTAGGAGGGGGGTCAAGCAATTGCCTTTGATCTTGATGACGAGGAGGAGCGGGACACGTTTGCACCTTTGTTTGAATGGTGGGCGTTCGATCTGCAGAAACCAACGAGCTGATGTTCAGCTAACAAGAATAATCAAGGATCTAAAGATTAGCCATTGGCCCATCGGCCATGCGTTGTGATGTTTTGCCATGGGTTTTCACAGTGTTCACGACGCCCCCGCCAAGGCAATGTGTATGCAGATGAATCTTGGCCGCAGAGGCCCGAATTCAGAAAACCAGTCCTCGGGTTGGTCAGAAAAATACAATTTTCCATCATAAAAATTGAAAATGGAGATGCACGCTAGACCTCATGAGTATGCCATGTTCTATACTATACACTCCATTTTCAGACAGACCCAGTTCGTTGTTCCCATGACGGCCAAGGTTCGTGGATGCTAATCGCAAGGATGCCGAAAGACGTCGGAAAGAAGTGACAAAGATGCCACGTGGGTTCATGGGTTCATGGGTTCATGGGTTCATGGGTTCATGGGTTCATGGGTTCATGGCTTTGGATCCATATCGATACGATTCGATACGTATCAGATTTTCCATATTCAGGGGATGCACATTCATTGATAGCAGCATTTTGATGTCCGAAAGGGAGGCTTTTGACCCATCCATGTCAGAGAAATTTGTAGAATTTGTTGGTCTCCCCGATTCCGATGTTCTTTTGGACTGTGTTCATGGCGGGCGCATCTTCGAAGCTCCGAAATGGCACAAAGATGTCTCTATTGATCTCTATTGTCTCTCAAAAAAAGTGCATTCTTGGATCCCTGGGTTGTTTGTTTCTTGTTTGAAGTGGTTCATGCTGCGCACCTCCCTTCGGTCGCAGGTGGCAGTGAGGCGGAGATCATTTCCCAAGCGCAGATGATTGCCATTGGCAAACAGGCGGATGCCACAGGGGATGCCTTGTTGTCATGGATCGTCCGGCACCACCAGAATCATCATGAGAATATTAATCATGGTTCATGCCTTCTCATTTTTGTTGCTGCCATCATTTTTGATCATTTTTGTAGTGTTTTGTTCTTCGTGTTTTTTCATACACAGATTCTCCTGGCTTAAACCTCCGAGGCGGGACCAGCAGAACAATGGCTCTTCCCACCTGTCTTGGATGCTGTTCAAGGCGGGAAGCGGCTGTCGGATACCGGTCATGCTATCCGCTGCTATCCCCCCCAGTCCCTTTGGATCTGGAATTGGGGCGCTCCTGGACTGCAAAGATGACTGACTTCGCCTCGTAGGGAAGCGCATTTGATCCGCAGGCTCAACTCATCTCAACTCAGCATGATTAGACCGCACATCAGCATCCTCGGACCTGCTACCAACGCAGGCTCGGGTGAAAACGTCACCTGGTATCCGATCGTGAGGCATCTGAGTTGGAGGGCTGGGCTTTTCTTTACTTACTGGAGAAGCATGGCAGTTGGCAGTGGGACTGGGGTATCATAGGTATCATATTGTAGGAATACACACATTTACATACATTTACATTACTGTACATGTTGCTTTATAATTAAACTTTATAATGATATTACATATAGATTGATATGGGGTAATTAAAACTTTGCAATGTTCGTTCTAGCATTTGTTTCGGAGTGTGGATACCATGGCTTCCGACCTCGGCTCAAGACATTGGGGGCTGGCGCTTGGCGCCATGGCCACAGTTCGCGTGTCCCTGCAAGAATGCGAGGCCATTTGTAGAAAGGCCTTGCAGAAGAGACGGCTAAATGAGACTGCAATCCTGGCAATCTCCGAGAATATCACTGCCGCTGAAAGGGATGGCTGCCGGTCTCATGGTCTTTTTCGACTTCCCGGATATTGCCTTGCCCTGGAGCGAGGGAAAGCGAGCCATGATGCTTTACCTGAAGTCAAGAGCCTTGCGCCCTCTTGCGTGGTGTCAGATGCCAAGGGAGGCTTTTCAGTGCCGGCCTGCTTAGCGGGGCATTCGTTGCTCGTGGAGAAGGCGAAAGCTTCGGGGGTGGCGGTTTTGTTGATCCAAAGGGCCTTTCACTTTGCTGCGCTTTGGCAGGATGTGGAGCCTCTAGCTGCGAAGCATGGGTTAGTTGCAATGGCCTTCTTGAACTCCAAGGCCTTTGTAGCTCATTGGCCCGGAGGTCTTCATCCGCTCTATGGTACAAACCCAATGGCATTTGCGTGCCCTCGAAGGGGAGTAGATGGACTTTCCCAAGAACCCTTTGTGTTCGACCAGGCCACCTCCATGATGGCTCGCGGAGACATGACGCTTGCTGCCCGGGATGGTGAGACTATCCCACCCAATGCGGCAATTGACAAGCATGGCCAGCTAACCACTGATCCAGTGGCTGGATTGGAAGGGGCGCAGTTGCCGATGGCTGGACACAAGGGCACCAGCCTGGCGATCATGGTGGAACTTCTGGCAGCGAGCTTCACAGGAGATGCTTTCGCCTACGAAGCAGCTGGTGAAGACAGTGCCATGCCAACGCAGCATGGAGAAATGATTATAGCCATTGATCCTGAGCGATGCACAGCAGGAGGCCGTGCAGCGTTCTTGAATCGTGTGGAGGCACTACTTCAGATGGTGGAAGCTGAAGCACAAGCAGCTGAGGCTGCAGGCAGATCCATGCGGCTACCATCGCAAAGACGATGGGCTGCACGGAGGAGAGCAGAGGATGGCTTTGAGATCGACGAGGCTTTGCTAGCAAGATGCAGAGCTTTGGCCGAATAGACCGGCCTGGACCAACAAAAAAGATACGTGGGTCACGCTGCGAAGTAGGTGATGGGCTTGCCCAGGGGAGCCCAATAGGGCCTAATGTCACTGCCAAACTGCGCACTGTATTTTTCGGCTGGCAGTCAGGCAGAAAGAGGTTTCGTCATGTTATGTCATGTTCCATACCAAAACATGACAAATTCGACCTAAGGGTATCATATATATAGGCTATCTAAGCGAATTCGATCTATGGCTTTTTGCATTCCAAAGTTGACAAGCCACAAGTTGCAGGTTGATCTTTCGTCAGCCCCTTCCTGCGGTGGAGCTCTTAGAGCAATGCCGCAAGCCGTTGTCAAACAGCTTTTGCTATTACTTCTTAAACAAAATCCCATGAAAAAGATGGGAAAAACCCATGAAAAAATGGAAAAAAAACATGAACATCCTATCAAACTATATCAACCTCCCATCCTAAAGTGTCATGAAATCCCATTGGAAAGATACAAAACGGTCGTCATGAAATGTCCGAGGCTTGGGCACCGCAGCAAGAGATTTTGTGTGGAAGAATCTCGTTGCAGGTGCAGAATTTTTTTTGTGCTGGGTGCTGCCAACCTGCCACCCTCCGGTATAGTCAGTGACTGATGCTTTCAACGACTTGCTGACTTGTTCATTCAAGTAAGTCACTTTTCCGACTTGTGTGTCTGAAAATTGGAAATCCCCCAAATCCCATGCTTCATCATCGTTTTTTTCGGAACAACAAGCAATTTCATGCAATTTGTAGGTATCCCCGAATGTTACGCGGTTCCCAGCCTGAAGAGGTGGCGGCATTGAGTAAGGATCATCTTCGGGATGTTTTGAGCTCAGTGTCAACCGTGGGAGGATAGGGGGCACATGCAATGCTAGCTAAGCGCACTGGTGTCAGGTCCACAAAGTCAACTAAAGGATTATGTTAGACTTTTTGTGACCACTATATTATCTTGTTTGATACTGTATCGAGTTTACCAGTGAGTTCTATCCCCACATATAGATATAATATAGTAACCCTCAAAAAGATAGACACATAATTTACCGCTACTTTAGCTTCGGATTTCACCTACAACCTATCTTTTCGGTGGCCGTAGCCACCAGCTTTTTTTTTTTTCCGCCTTCCGTTCCTCCGGGGTTCCCGGCGCGCCAAGTCGCAGCTTGGCGACAGCGGCAAGACGTTCTTAGTGGACGCCAGTGGCACGATCCTCTCAGCGGTTCAGATCCAGGACTCGGCGACCAGAGGCGAATTCCTTTCGGAATTGGTCGGGGAAACTGAACTGGAAAACCTCCAGATTAGTACGGTAAATTCTTTAGAAAAAATCATGGTTGATGAGTTTCCTGTAAACGTTTACCTGAATCAATCCATGGATTGATTGATTGAAAATTAGATGGAAATATCCCATCAAAATGGTTGGAAAATCCATCAGATGGAAATATCCCATCAAAATCTCTTGGATGGAGCATGATCAACGTATCCCAAACAACATTAGGCCTTGAGAACATGGCTTCTGGAATCAGGACACACTGGCTGTGGACAGCGTGGGAGCCATGCAAATGAGGCCAGTTGAGTTGAGTCAAGTTGAGTCGTTCCTCAGCATCCGCGCCCGGTCTTGCGTGGGGAGGAAAAACTTTATCAGTGTGATTTGTGATGATTTGTGATGATTATGATGATGATGATATGATGATGATGTGATTTCCACTGATAATGATAATTGTGACTGATGCGTGACTAATGATCATTATCCATCAGTCACAAATGTCACAATTATGATTATGATGATATTCATATATATTCATATGATATTTGTAATTGTTGTATCATGATGATATTCCATAAATCACAATTAGCATTAATATCCATCAGTCATGTCATATATGTCATATATGTCATCACTTTTTGCTGTTAATATGTTAAATCATGGTACCTATTACAATTGATTTGGCATGATGGTACCACTCCATTGAGCATTCCCCATCGTTGACGATTCAATCACAAAAGTTTCCTTGGCAATTCAATTCAGGTCAATCCATTGGTGATTAAATCATATTAATTCCTGACATTTGATGGTTGAAGCCACATAAATCGTGGTGAAATTCAACATCCAATTTCTTGATGGTCAAATCTCCCAATCAAAATTCATCACCGTTTGATGATTTAATCCGTCGTTTTAGCATGTTTGATGATCACAATCCTTGATCATGTTTGGATCAATCCCTATGTTTGATGGTTAAATTACATCGTTAAATCATGTTAAATCATGTTAAATCACCATTTTCATGATTCCCCTGCCTAACTCTGCAGGCGCCTCACAGATCTGCCAGACGCTTCATGGAGCGGAAGCATTGCTGGAGTCGCTTGACCGGGGATTTTTCATGATTTTTCGAATGAACATATTTGGAGGTACAACCGTGAAAAATGGGGTCTAAACCAGAAACATAGAGGACTATAGAGATATGAACCATCAAGAATGGGGTCAATACCTAAGAAAATAGGGTAATAACTGTATAATTAACCATGAAATATTGGCTCAAAACCATGGAACACCGCAGGTAAAATCCGTCAAACATATGGTACCAAGCAGGATGAGGAGGGGGGTTTGACATATGGTACGACCACTGGGACGATTATGGGGTTTCGCAGCGACCACAGGAATCCAGGACTCGAATTCTGAGGACATGACATGGATTTGGTTCAAGACCTGTAAGTCCTGTGGTTGTTCTGTATGTTTACTTTTGGGTGAACATTCATGTGTCAGCTATTTCAATGTGAAGACCACTTGATTCAATCGTTTTGATTCATCGCCAACCTTAACTGCCCTAACTCTTGATTGGAGCTGCTTACAGCATGGCAGCACGAAACACCCGACCTCCAGCTGTTTCGCACCTGACGCAACATCAAAACCAGACCCAGACCGATGACCATTGGGTGGGTGAATCCCCAAGTGGAACCTCAGAATCCCCGAGAGTACCATTGTATCAGCATTATATCAATCATTATATAGCCATTATATACTGTGGATGGAAGAAATCCTGCACCAGTTGATAGATGGTTTATCCCATTATATCATATGTATATATATCATCATATATCATATCTTATACCATATATATATATATACTATTATATCATATATTATATATCATCATATCATATACCATTATACACCTGATATCACCATTATATCCTATATATATATCTCATATATCATATCATATACCATATAATACCATATATACTATTATATCATATCACCATGATATCATATATATATATATATCATCATATCATCATATCATTACCATATATCATATCATTTAATATATATATATATACCACCATTCTATCACCATGACTATATCATATATATGTATATATTATATATTATATCACCATTATATCATCATATGCCCCATTATATATCACATGTATAGCACCTGTGTTTCCCGAGGCCTTCAGGGGCGATCGGATTGATGCCATGCAGGTGAAGGAGGCGATCCCTTGCGATCGTCACGTTTTTGCCGCCTGCTTGTGGAGCCCCCAAAAATGGATCAAAGGGGGATGGTCCCCCCCATTTTATATGGATATACAGAAGACATATTATTTATATAATTATATGTATATATATATATAGGATTTTATAGGATTTTATGAGATGTTTTGAGATTTTATAGATATTTATAGGATTTTATAGATTTATATCGGATTTTCTAGGGCTATAAGCATCATAAGATGCAAGAAAACAGGCTATACTAGAGCTGTTCTGGTGATATCTTTAAGAATGGGAGTCCCATCAGGCATCATACCTCCGCATTTAAACCCTCCAAAATTGTCCGAACAGGACAGCATTTTTTGCTTCCACATCTATGATGTTAGTTGACCCTAGGCTAACCCTAGGTATCCCTTGACGTCCCATGCCCGGCCCAGGGTTGGCTCGCTGTTGTGGTGTATCCTTTGCCAATGCCGCTGAACATGTTCGCCATCGTCGCGGGGGACCTCGGCGACAACTAAACCAAGATTCTGGTGATGACAGTGGGGATATAGTACCTATGGATATCTATGGATATAGTGGGGATAATGGATATATAATGATATATAATGGTCCAATGATGGATAATGGATATATATATATATATGGATATTTTTATCATGGTCCCAACGTAAAATTTGCATGGGGATGGCTTTGTCCAAATGGTCGACAGGCCTCCGATTTTTCGCACGCTGCCTGGGTCCGACGAGTTGCCCATGAATCAACTGTACGAAGTTTTCCATGGGTTTTTCACAGCTCCATTACCCTCTGGTTATGTCAAAATAGCCATTGAAAATGACCATAGAAATAGTGGATTTTCCCATTGAAAACGGTGATTTTCTATAGTTTTTTGTATGTTTACCAGAGGGTAACCATTAATCATGGTTTGACACCTCCAATGGAAAATGGTATACCAAACAAATGGATACAAATGGGATTTTCCCATCAACCATGGGAGACCTCCAAGTGACGTCCGGGGATGTCGATTCACTTGTGCAGGTGGTGTCTCAAGCCGAGAACAGTTCGTTTCAGGAGCTCTTTCCGTCATCCCAAGTACCACTAGAGTGTTGTACTTGTATGATGTTGTATTGGATCTCCCTGAAAAGTGAGTCTTCCAAACTTCATCAAGCTTCCAAACTAGAATTCTGTGTGGTTGGAGTTTTTTTATTTCTTCGATGATTGTTGGATTTTGACAGGTCAGCTGTGAGACGTTGGATGATTGTGATGGTTGAACTGGAAATCACATACTATGCCGACTATACCTTGAGTATCAAGTGAATTTCTCCAAGTCTACCATCACTTTCGCGAGTTTCGTTACTCTTTGTTTCAAGAATCAGTTGCAGCTGAGTCTAACTCGTCAGATATTTTCCACGAATCGTGCAGCGTGTGGTTTTTTCATGTTTTTTCAATGACCAGGACAGCTCCATTTTTCAGTCCATGATTGTTCTGATGGCCTTCACTTCGGTTCCGTGCGCCGATCTTAATGGAGGTTTCCTGAGTCATGGGGGTAGCCCCAAATCATCCAAGTCATTCGACCATTTCGGTATTGAAACCCATGGTGACTTGGGGATCCTCCATTCTATGAAACCCATATATATGTATAATATATTATAATATACTGTAATATATATATATATATGTATCACATACACAGAGGTATAGGTATACATACATCTTGAAGTTAGACACTATCTGTTCCCCACCTTTCACCCTAAATACGTTTTCCAGGTACGTGGTGGTCTTCGTGACGTTGAGCGTGGTCTTCTTTTCGGCCAACACCAAAGTGGGACAAGAGCAGGGACCCCCAGGGCCGCCCAGGTTTCTGGTGATATGTTTGTTGGATGTTTATTGGGACATGTTAGGGGATGGGGGCTGGGAAACCCATGTAACAAGGTGTATATTCATGCAGTGTTCTACATATGTTACTTATACATATAATATAATATTATATATATATACACATGATCACACGTTCTCGTGATTTCCATCCCTAAAGGATCCAGGTTGTTTTGGATGCAATTTTTTTAAGGATGGCTTGAAACCACCAGTCAATCATACAGCAAGAAGATGAGCTGCCCAGGATGAAAGCCAGAAAATCTGTCTTCGCGCGATTTGCAGAAGGAGTTACAGGCGCTTACTTGAAGTGAATTGCATCGTATACGAGGCAAATAAGGCACTGTCAGAACATTACCTAGTGTTGTGCTTCACAAATTCGTTTGTTTATCTACAGGGTGGCTTGCGTGGCTTGATCCCAGCGCTTTTTTTAAGGGAATGTTCACATCAATCAGCGCCAGCTCTTTAGATGTGAAAAACATTGAACACCAGGGGATTCCTGGTTTTTGACCTTTCTGCAGCGTTGGCGCCGCCAGATTTCGCAGCAGCTCAAGGTGTCAAGATGAAACATCGGTCGCTTGGCGGCAAAGCGGCATTGAAGAGCAACCATTCAGGAGATTTAACCAAGCATTTGAGGTGATACACATATTACATATTATACATATTATATATATATGATATGATATCATACGATATCGAATCAACTATATGATATGCGATCTCTGAAAATGGAGTGCACAACCCCAAACTGGCAATTTATTTCAATAGGCAACATCATTATGAACCAGTGGATGGAACGGGGCACCTTATTTTCGAACAACAGAACCGATTGTGTGGGTCCATTGTCCATTGCTACCCCGTTTTTGAGCCACACCCAGATGGGTGGTACCATAATCGGTTGATCAGTAGCATACAGTATTCGAGTATCCCCTACAATTGCCATCAATCAAACGTGGCTAGCCGGTAAATCTATAATTATTCATGGAGGTTTCTAGCTGGGAAAAGCATCTATGAATGGTGTAGATCTTCCAGCAAACTATGTTGCTGGGAGGGATCTGGAGGGTATATCCCATTGATATCTCATTAAACCTTCATTGATCCCATGAATATCACATGAATATCCCATGAATATCCCATGTCATGCTGAATTCCATCGTCCAAGGAATACAGTTCGTCCAATGTCGAAAGGCCGGGATTCAGTTTGTTGGGTCCCAGAAATTGGAACCTTTGGTGACTCAATAGAAAATCCGTGAACATCATGGCTTTCCTGTGATTTTGACAGAGGAATCAGTTCCGAAATTATATATAGTATATATACATATATACATAATATCAAATTAATTACTTACTGATCTATATGAAAAAAAATGTAGATAAAGCAACTTAGTGTGATGCGTTGATATTCTCTTATCTCCTCATTTTTAACGCCAACGTTTTGCCAGGAAGCGACGGGCCACTCTTCACGAAGGAGATGGAAGGACACCCAGCACGCGGTCTATCATTTTACCGGTTACCCTCTGGTTATTTAACATATGGTGGTTTCCATAGCCATTGGGGTACCCAAAAATAGATGGTTTATACTGGAAATTCCATCTATATAGCTATTGAAAATGACCGTTCGATGACCGTTCGATGATGTACCTATATTAAACATTGTGATTTTCCATAGCTATGTTAAATAAAAAGAGGGTAAGATATGGCAAACGTAGATAAATCATGGTAAATTTGGTGTATCCTCCATTTTCAGACAGATTCATATCATATAACGGATTTAAAATCAGGCAATGTTTGGGATTTTAATTCATGTAGTGTGATCTAAGCAAATGACCAAACCAAGAAATTTGGAACTCCAATGTGACAATCTCTGTGTCGTAGGGGAAAACCACAGAAAGCAAGTACTTACTTTGGGTCTGGGGTATCCTTAAGTCCTTAAGCCGCATCAGTAATTTTCCCTGGACTATCCCAGTAGCCTTCTTCTGGTACGTCTTCGAGCTTTGCTATTGGCCTTTTGTGCAGTGCTCTCCCTTCATGCAGGCATGGGTCGCAAGATCTCTCAGACCAGCGTGTTGAGCGCCGGCGAAATCTACGACGCATCTTGCCGTGACATGAGCTGTTGAATGAATGCTGATCAATGTTTGCTTCTCTGTTTCCATTGCGCAGTAGCGATGCACTCACCGCAGACCTTCAGAGCATCTTGACGTTTCTGAAATGTTCCAGATCATCCGAGACAATGTTGGTGATTCTTCTCTACTGTAGCTGGTGTGCAGTCATCATGTGGTGATGAGGTGTTCTTTATATAGATGGGTTTGTCTGGAGAGTGGGGAGTTGATCATGTTTTGCGTAAAATCGGATCTGGTTGGTGGTTTCAAACATTTTTTATTTTCCATAATATATGGGATAATCCTTCCCATTGACTAATATGTTTCAAGATGGTTAAAACCAGCAACCAGGGATAACATTGGCATTGGGGTCTCCAATTTCCAGACAGATCAGCCATCTCAGGCAGTGCTTGTCGATCTTGTCGCCAGCTTAGGCAGAGGACAAACCCTTGGCGGTCCAGCCCAGAAAGACGCATATCATGATGCTTTGCTGCAGGTCCTATTGGGAAATGTGGCGCTGAAAAAAAAGTGGTTTGACACATGGGGATCTCCCATGTGTTGCAGAATGAAACTCCAAGAATCAAAGAATCGCTGTGATTTTTGTGGGGGAAATTGATGAGCATTGCATTTGTTTTGCAATGTTGTGCAGAATTGGCCAGGGAATGTCAGTGTTCGTGTCAGCGTAGCAGCTCACTAAGCACTGACTCCAGTTATATTATTGTGCACATATGTGTACTGTTATGAAACCTACCAAAGGAGGGTGAAGTATTCCGCGTGCCTGAGGAACGATGCATACTTCGAAGCGGACCGTTCTTGCAAGGGGTCAAGGGCTTGGTGTTTGATAATCGTTAAACATGTGCCGAACATGAAGAAGTGGAGGGTAACAACACGGGTAGCATATGGCCACAACATGCCACATGACAATACATGACATGGTTTCCATTCCATGTTCCATCAATCCTGGTACTGCATTGCTGACAGGCTGGTGGTTCGAAAGGAAAATGATCTTGACCGATGTCTAACTGATCCAACTACCGATCAACAAAGCTCAGGCACAAATGAATCCACATTCGAGATTGATATTTGATGATATTTGAAGGTTTCCTGAAATGGGGCTACCCCCAGTTCTCATCCATTTTCGTAGGATTTTTATGGATTTTTCATGAAATAAACCATCCAGCGAGCTTGGGGTACCCCATGGTACCCCCATTTCAGATGACCTTGCCCATTTCGGCCAGTTTTCGCAGATATTCTGAGGTATTGTGTACGGTGTGTGCCTCTTGGTAGCAAGATGAGTCAATGAATCCCTCCTGTGTCCATGTGCATTAATGTGCATTATATCATATTACAATATATTATATCTACATATAATTGCACATATATATATATAATTATATACATTGTATAATAATATACATATACATGTATACATGCACGTATGTATATCTGTTAAAAAAAAGTCAAGTGTGTCGCTGCGGCGCTTCGGCCTCACTGGATCCATGGATTCTCAGCGCAGATGCCATGACAATCTGAAATTCCGATCCTATTTTCAATGGATTGGTTTAAGGGAAAATCTACAGGAAACCATAGATTTTCCCATTAAATATGGGGTTTTCCTGTAAATTTTCCCTTAAACCAATCCATTGATATTTGCATCTATTTGCCTTTGTAAGTGGTACAAGCAAGACCGGATATTCCATATGGAAAAGAAGGACATTAGTGTCTCAATCATCAGCATTCACCAGCTCCCCTTTCTGCAGATGATGCGAGATTTTCCAAGGCGCTGTTTCTGTGCATGCTGTAGGGGGCGAGCGGGCTATTAGCAAAGCTGACAACTGCAATGCCAGGAAGCCTCTTCTGTGCAAGACACCTTGGTAGCAATAACATGACATGACATATTAAAAATATCTCATACATATGTCACATGATTCAACCTAAATGGTTGCCTCACACATCTCAAGCTGTGCAATGACAGATTCATCCCAGATGTTAACGTTAGGACGCGCTTGACCTCGGGCCAAGCAAAGCTTGCCCTTGGACGCGTTGGGAACAGCTCCAGCTGCTCAGCTGCTTGGAGCGACTGCCTCAAAGATCCAAAAGAGTTTGGGCTGCAGCTGGTTCTTGAACCATCAAAACATGGGGTTTAACGACGACGCCAGTGGTTTAACATGGTTTGACCATCAAAGAAAACAACGATTTGGGTATAGAACGGTTCAATTATCAAACTAACCATCCAAATTTGAGGGTTTGGCCCATGGCTTGCAGTTGGGGAGTCAACATATCGGGGTTTTCTCCATGTTCATGGAGATTTTGCCAATTACTGGGGATGCCCCCAGGTCAACAATGGCATGGCCTACAGCAGATCCGAACAGAAACAGACGCCAGATGATCCCAACTCCAACAAGCAGTGCCAACGTTGACTGGGGATCCCAAGATATCGTGTTCCCAAAAAAACTTACCCTCTGGTAAACTAACATAGCTATGGAAAATCACAATTTTTTATAGGTAAACCATCTATAAATGGGCCATTTTCAATAGCTAACTATGTTAGTTTACCAGAGGGTAAGCCATTCTTTTGGGATGCTTTGGGATGTTTTGGGATGCTTTGGGGGTATACCAGTACGCCCTAGTTTTAGATGAAGTGTAGCAGGAAAGCCATGGAAACCCAATTGTAAACTATCCATCTACAGGGACGAAGTCGAAAGGAATTGGGTTGTGCATGACCTCTGATGGCATCACTTGGAGGTATCACAGGGATATGCAGAAATCAGGAACTGGAAAGCATATGTTTTCAAACTAAACAAGCCCAACCTGTGATGAACACTCAAACATGATCTATTCTATGAGCTTCTATGGTGTTTCCATTCTGTTTCATCTTTAGAAGGGTATCAGGCTGAAATGACCCACAGCCAATCACAGCATCATGGCATCATTCTGAACGATGTAACCCGGGGCCCCGCCATCAAACGATGCCATGGCTCTAGCTGTGCCCGGACCTTGGCACAGCATGTCATTTTCCAAGGTCAAAGGAGAGAATGTGACTGAGCAGAAGGGCTGGTTACTCAATCTATGATATTATACAAGTATACATATTTTATGTTGAACTTATATATATATATTATATATATATTATATTATATATATAAGTATATATATATATATCTATACGTGTATATATATATATATATATATCTATACGTATATATATATATATGTATATATATAATAAGCATATATATACATATATATACAAGTATATATATATAAGTATATATATATATATACGAGTATATATAAGTGTATATATATATATATACATATGTATAAGTATATATATATCATAGAATTCGAATGTGAATTCCGATTGCACTATTTAGAACTCCTGTATACAATGAAGTTAGATACAGCACTTTTTTTCCATTCTCAGGCCAGGATCACCTCAGCGGCGTGTCAGGGGCCCTGAGCGAAGGGATCTTGGGAATCTCGGAGATTGTTGAAAAAACATGATGTTCATTCACTTTGGATGGAAATACATGATATATTTAGTGATTAATTTTAAATGGACATGGTCTAATCCATGTATTTTTTGATGTTGACTTTTTCCAGGAGGTTCTGTCAAAGAACCAGGCATTTTCAGGTCCACAGCTTGGATTCATCTGAGGCAAGTATCTTCAAACGTGGTGTGACCACTACACTGCACGGTCCCAACGACCTGTCGACAGAAATCGCTTTGGGTCAGAGGTGCGTGGCTGTTTTTATGGATATTTTGGGGTGAGTTGCTTGCAGCCCAACTGGGTATGGATCAATACCTATTAATACCATTTTTAGGGGGATGAACATCCATTTACCAGCTATTTTTATGTTCACCAGGGGTACAAGGTTGTGACACACTGCCAACTGAAGCTTACATAAATGCTGAATGCTTCAGTCGTTGGTGTGTCCAGGGGTTGCAGTTGCTGCAGTATCTCAAGGCACTGACGTGGCATGAGGAACATCCACAATCAATCTGTACGCGACATCACGGCGTTTGATTTCAGGTCTGAATATCTGATCACTGATAGTATCTCACAAAATCAATTGCAAGCCATATTTCAAGGTACATGAAGAACTGATTTGACATGATGTGACCATTCAGGTTCAAGAGAACGCACCTCAAAGAGTGTGCGGCGTTTCGCCACGTCTCGACGTTGGGAAGTTAGTTAGGCCATGGCACGACCAGGACGACTGTTGTTGTTGGCTGGTGCGCTGTTGAGCGGCATTTCATGGTGCTTCTTGTGCAGCCCGGAGAAGTTGCCCAAAGCTCGTGGCTTTGACTTCAACCCGGCGGTGGCGGCCTCCGCAGCTCTGCCAGCCTTGACGATGCTAGCAGAGGATGCGGAAGCAAAATATGGGGACAACCGCAAGTGGTCTGCGGTCTTGGTGCCCTTGACCACCCTGGTATTCCCAATGGTGGCTGAGCGGTGTTTTTTTAAATAGGCTTTTCTGATTTGCCCTGTAAAATCTGTAAACTAATGGGATCTTATGGGATGATCCCAATTCCCACATAGTCCATCTGGCAGCTCAAACACCACCTCAAAAAACCGGAAAAATCAGAGTGTCTTTCAAAACCGGGTAAAGTCTGCAGATTTCCCACTAACACCAGCTTAACAACAATTTCAAGGGTAAACCCATGGAAAATACAATTTTTGCAGATCTTCCCATGGAAAAAAGACCTGCCAGGTGGGTTTCGGCTCCTTCGTCCTCTACTCCTTCCAGGAAGATGCCTTCTGGCGCCTGGTGCCCGGGACCAAGCGCGCCAAGGAAGCTGAGGAGGCCTGGAGAGAGCATCCCTTGTTCGCCAATGCCAAGGCTGGGCACCTGGGCACCGGTTTATTCGAGATTTTACATTGGCAATGGCATGCAATGGCTGGGTCAATGATCTGGGTAAATTATAACGACCTCCCTGCGACCTCACTGGAATCATGGTTAGTAAGGGAAATGATCCCCAAATGGCCTTAATTCAGGTTGGTGAAATATTATAATTTACCCAGAATGATGGTGTTCTTGTTCTTGTAAATATTCAGGAGAGGTCAGTCTTTGCTCTGAATATTTCGTAGGTCCAGGAATGATAAATATGATAGGAAAGGGGGGCATGTATATAGTAGAGATCCACCAATTTGGGGATATTTCTTGGGCATTGAACGATACTAAACATCAATTTGTCGTTTTTATGTCGTTTTTCTTTAGGTGCCTATCATATATGCAGAGGGCAAGTTGGGTGATGTATTTAGAGGAAATAGAACGCCTGTAGACGAACATGATGAATGTATCAAATTTGGTGGCCTTTAAACAAACTACCCTCTAGTAATTTATGATAGCACATGGCCCATTTATTTCAATGATTCTCCCATTCAAAATGGATAACATCGTGATTTTCCCTAGCTATGTGAAACGACCAGAGGATCAGCATCATCTTTGGATGGACGGATATGCTTTTTTTCCAACCAATTTTGATGGTGGACATGGATCCTATGAATGATTTATGAAGGGTTTTCAACCGATTTGTTTCACCCAATTCTCATGGAGAGTTCTCTGCCAGGATCCTATGAATGGCCTGCTGAACCCTGATGACTACGAGAAGGGCTTGGAGGAAGCCTGGGAACGTGCGAAGCCAGCAGGCAGCACGGTGACGGTGAAGGACAAGCTGGCGAAGCTCTCCAAGCAGAATGCCCCACACTGGGAGACCTGGAAGAGCCTGTCAGCCTGAGAGATCGAGATTGACTGTTGAATGGGTCTGTGTTTTTGGAAGAAAAAGAGCCTAGAGTTTTGTGAATTGCGACTTGGGGAATGAAGGTATGAAGATGTGCAAGATGAGAATGTTTGATGATGTCAAGAGTTTCCGAGATTCTAATTTCCTTGGAGCTAGGTTTGCATTTCCAGGATACCAAATACAACTCCAGACTTTGGAGCAAACCATGACAACAACTCACACGTCTACATTGTATTACATTCCTGGCAAAAGAAGAGATCAGATTATATATACATTATATACCATCTGGTTATTTAACATAGCCATGGAAAATCACCATTTTTAATAGGTAAACCATCTATAAATGGGCCATTTTCCACGGCTATGTTAAATAACCAGAGGGTAAATGTTCAGCACCCAATGTTGTACTAAATGATGGAGCTCTTTTGGTTCAAGCGGCATCGATGTGATGGCACTGCAATTGCCTGCTTCATTTGAGGTGGAGCCGTTAGGCAGCACCCATTCTTTGCGTCGAAGCAGCAGCGTTGCAACTGCCGTAGCCATGCTGGGCGGTCAAGACCCATTTCAATCATTTCAGGGAAGTGACCAAGGCAGACCTGCCAGCTGGCAATCAGTGTTTCTCCTAATTTTGGCGTTTGTCCTCATTGCTTCCATGAGTGGAGGACTGATTTTTGGCTCAGCTCCCTTTCAGGCAGCTTTGGTGGACTATGGATATTCCATGGAGGAGGCCAAACACATTTGGGGTTTGGCCTTCCAGGTCTTCGTGGTTGGAACAGCCATGGTATCACCCCTGCTCGATTACATTGCGCCGCGTTGGTTCGCTAGCTTTGGACTGGCTTTGGAATGCTTCGGTCATCACCTATTGGCTGGGATTGCGGCCTATCCTTTGCAGGAGGGAAGGTACATCTTGGCAGCCGGCCTTGGCATAGTTGGAGTGGGTGGCAACATGCTGATGCTGTCATCCATTCAATTCAGTGGCCTTTTTGTCAACAGCTGCACGATTACAGCGATGATGAGCGGCACTTATCAACTTGCGGGCTTTATCTTTTCCCTGCTCGATGCTTCCTTCATGAATTTCGAGGTTTTCTTTCACATGTACGAAATCATCAGCTTAGTTGGGATGGGTCTGGCATTTATTTGCTACCCCAATGAGCCTTACACGTCGTCTCTACAGCCAGCCGGTTGCACCTGGCCCACAATGCCGTGTCGGCCCTGTGGTGGTGCTCCTTCTTCCTGCAAGGATTCCTGGGCTCCGCTGCAGCTTTCTCGGACGTGGTTCTTTCTGTTGTCCTTCTCATTGGGTGCCACATGCGGCGCCTGGTGCTCAGCCACTTTCTTGCAGACTGTGACACGGAAGGCCCAAGCAGCAGGGGAGCTCCCAAGCGCAGTTGACGCATTTGTGGTTTGGATGCCATTCGTGTCAAATGCAACCTTTGTTTTTTCACCATGCATTGGCATGCTCATTGATCTTCAGGGCTTTGTTCCTGCGGTGCAGATTCTGTTGGCCATGGTTCTGTCCGCAGTTCTATCGCTTTGGCTCTTGCCCTTCAACTTGCAATGGTGGACGCTGTTGTCCCTCAATTGCCTACAAGCAGTGACCTACAGTCTCCAATTCACCTACACCGCGCGGCGCTACCGGGTGGAACAGTTTGGCATCATCATGGGCTTTACAACTGTAATTCAAAGTGTGGTGAACATAGGGGGGTTGTACCTGCTGACTGCTCCTGCCGGCCTGGCAGCTGCCGCGTTTATTGTGCCCACCTGCTTCACTTGCCTGATGTGGTGCTTGAAAGAACGACGAGACATTTCCAGGCTACTTCCAGGCCATGCTGTTGTAGGATAGAAAACAGTGCCAAAAAGCTGCGGCGCAGAGAAATGCTGATGTTAAGATGCTTCATGACCCATTCTGTTGGGGGGTCTGTTGAACTGGTTGACAAGTGACCTCATTGGAGTGACCAAACCAGACCCTATGGCCCTAGAGTTCCATGCCAAAAACTATTGTAAACAATTGTCAGGTCCCCCCTGCATTATATAATATTATATAATATTATATAATATTATATAATATGAATAATATTATAATATATATATATATACATCTCTGTTGCCAATAAATGATAAGCATCCACAATTTAGCCACTCGAGTCCATGGAATCAGACCATCCTAGACTGCAGGGAGACTTTGGCGGAAGAGGCAGGCGGATTTATTGCGTGGCAACTCCTGCTGTGCACCTAAGTTAGATAATCATCTTGAACTCAAACATCCCAAGTTTATATCTAAATTTGGATAAGACAAACATAACAGCATATCATCCAAGTTTGACATTTACCTAAGCAACTTGCCGAAGCATTTGAAACAATGAGATTGCCAGGTAAAGGAAGCGTGTCGTAAGCTGGGCGTCCAGAGTGATGGTCCTTTGGACTGCCAGGGGTGCTGAATGCGAGACATGGTGGTGATGATGATGAGGATAATAGTAATAATACATATTACTACATATTACTACATATTAATACATATTACTACATATTAATACATATTAATATATATTAATACATATTAATAAATATTAATATATATTAATGGATATTAATATATACTGTAATACATACTGTAATGCATACTGTAATGCATACTGCAATGCATAGTGTAGTGCATACTGTAATGCATAGTGTAATACATACTGTAATACATACTGTAATTCATACTGTAAGACATACTGTAAGACATACTGTAAGACATATTGTAATACATACTGTAATACCTACTAATACATACTGTAATACATATTGTCAGACATACTGTAAGACATACTGTAAGACATACTGTAAGACATACTGTAAGACATACTGTAATACATACTGTAATACATACAGTAATACATACTGTAATACATACAGTAATACATACTGTAATACATACAGTAATACACAACATAATACATAATATCGCATACATAGTAATAGTAGTAGCAGTAATGATTGATAATAACAAACATCATTACCATAATGCAAGTTTGTGATTTTTCCAAAAGCGCCTTATTTCTTCTGGTTCAGGACATAGGATTTACAATGCAGTGAAATCCAATGTACTGGTAATCACTGTAGTCACTGTCCATTTACTCGAACATTTTGACCGCTACTCAAAACCATACGGAAAAAAAAACGGATTTTAGTGTTGTCTAAATCAATGTTCTGTGTGAGTTTCTCCAAAAAAAGGCACCTAAATTGAGTTAGCAATCAATTTCTAAATTGCACGTTACAAATGGCGGGCATGCCACCATGGTTTATCATCCCTTGCCCATATTGGGTTGCGCCAAAGGCGTAAATCTCTCAGACAACCCCAATATCAGGTTGTTGGTTATGTATCCATCAAATATTATCAAATATCCACATGAAATCCTTATCAATTCCATCCATTGATGTTTTCTTATCAGATATACACCTCCATTTAGTTCTGGAGTTTCCCAGAATCTCCAAGTGCTTGATAGTTAAATCCAATTTTCCCCATGATTTTTTGTGGTAAATCAGTGAAAAATCCCATAAAGTCCCATGAAATCCCAAGAAAATGAGCTCCATGTGGGTTGCTGAAGTTCCCCGCCAGGAGGAGTCCTTTCTCTTCACCGTGGGGTCTGGTGCTGCCGCTGTGATTGTGACGAAGGTAGCGAAAAAATCCAGGGTCAATCCACCCAAAATTGGAGGGTCATGGGGGGTCAAGGATGAGTGTTCTGTATGTTGTTCAGATACTATATCAGGTTATACTATTCAATATCAGATTCTTTAATGATGAATATTAATGAATTAAGAGAGTGAAGTTGGTGGTGTTTCAAAAAAAACATGTTCTGTGATGTTTGTAAAACACCGAGAACGTTCCCGGGCCTTCTGAAACGTCGGGCCGCTCGGGTCCAGCATTTTTAACGTCGCTGTCTCCAGAGGCGGAGCTGTCCAGATATCTGGAGAAAGGCAAGATCCACCTCCGAAAAGTTCCGGAAGTGGCCACCTGTTTGGTAGCTGCTTTGGAGGCGTGGAGATGTGACAGGAGAATGTGAAGCTGAAACACCAGGAAGCTGCATGAAGTTTGATGGTTTCATTGATGCTCTATTTAAGTGAAACAAAAGTCAAACTTGTATACTGATGTAGTGATGGTTATAACGGTTATGAGACTGTAATACTCTGTAATGTTGTACATGTGTGCCGTGTTGGTCCAACAGCATATCGCGTTCCGATCACCAGCTCCTATTTTCTTTCGCACTCCAGGCGTCGTCAGAGACTGCACGGGAGAAAGCATACCTGCAGCTTCTGAATGCTGCGCCTTCGCTTACATTCACTGAGCTATTTCACGAGGGGAGATGAATCATCTGCAGGTTATATATTTATATACCCACAGGTCTCGTGTGTTGCCCAAGCCCAGAATAGCGTAAATTACAAGGATTTTTTGTTCACACTATACATCTCATATAAAGTCTCCCACCCCCGTTAAACTTCTACATTCATTGAAGATTCTTCAATAAGGGTTTAATTCTCCCACCCCTGTTAAACTCTTCCATTCATTGAAGATTTTCAATAAGGGTTTAATTATCCCACCCCCGTTAAACTCTTCCATTCATTGAAGATCTTCAATAAGGGTTTAATTCTCCCACCCCCGTTAAACTCTTACATTCATTGAAGATCTTCAATAAGGGTTTAATTCTCCCAACTCTGTAAAACTCTTATATTCATTGAAGATCCTCCATAAGGGTTTAATTTTCCCACCCCGTGGAACTTCTACATTCATTGAAGATCTTCAATCACCATCATCATCATCATCATCATCATCACCATCATCATCATCATCATCATCATAATCATCATCATAATCATCATCATGATGAAATTTGCCGGGAACGTCCCTGTAAACTTCCGGGCAACACACAGGGCCTGGCCATATATATACATATATACATACACGTCCATGGCGTAGTGAGTGGAGTTTGGTCATTTTCAAGATGGTATGCATAGTACATAGCAGACATAGCAGTTTTTAGGCACCTCAAAGGTGCTGAAAATGACCCTTGTGGTGTAGCATCACTCGGGCTGGTAGTGATAATATGTGATAATTCTGGGAGCCTTCAAAACAGTCCGAAAAGATAGGTTTCGCAGCCCCAAATCCCTTGGTTCATCATGTTTTTTTCCAGCTTTGCCCAGAGCAAGTTGCCATAAATTGGGGAACCATCCCCCAGGGGTTTCAGACCGAATCTTCGAGGCAAAGAACGAGTACTTGTGGAGCCCTCAAGCTTCAGCATTGAGCATCCCCGGATCAAAATCCAGTGTCGCTTTGTCTGCCAAAATCCAGTGGTTTAAAGCTTCCCATCTTTTCCCTCTAAGATATATCTTAAGATAGAAAGGTGATGTAAACATATATATATATATATATAATTATATATACATATCAGGATATAAAGTTGCCATGCAGTCAAATCCCATCATTTCCAGACGTGGCCCCCATCCCGGTCCCACTGTTTTGCACCGCTTGAGGCTCGATGAAGTGATTTCCAAACGGAATGGGCTTCAGGTGGCCGGCGCTCCCGGCCATCCCAACTGCATTGGGGTACAGTAGGTCTAAATGGGGGTTTCGGTTAATGGGGGTACCCTAATAGCTGGATGGTTTATATGGAAAAACCATCAATGGATGAGAACTGGGGGTAGTCCCATTTTTTGGAAACCTCCAAATGTTGATTTGAGTTGATGGAAGAGTGTGTGGTTTGCTGGATCCAGGTTTCTTGAATTTTTGCCATGCATCCCTGAGGCATTGCGAGAAGTGCAAGCGACACAGTGCAGCAAACGACCTCCACTCGATTCAGCCTCAGATACTGTGGGATGGGCGAAGTCCAAGCTTCGCCTTGAGATGTGATTTGCCAGACTTTCAAATGGAACTTCACTTCTAAACTGTAAATTTCATGGAGAAGTTCCTGCATTGCAGGAGCTTGGAACTAGAAGACTAGAGTCTAGAGCCACCACTTGGTTCCTTTTTTTCATTTGAAGCATTTCTGAGGATGCATCCATGTTGACATGGAATGTAACGGAATGTATGCACTTCCTTTGAAACTCTTTGGAGTCAGGCCGCGGCTTGCGCGATGCTGAATGATGACAATGCGGAAGATTGGTTGGATGAACGGCAGGAGCTGTGGGGTTGACAGTCGTTATGATAAAGATTAGAAACCATGAAAATGGCTATGAAAAAATATGAAAATATGTTTGATATTGTTTGATAAGGGTAATTAGCTTTACTGATAATGTTTAGTAACAGCAAACATAGTAATGATAAGAATAGGGAATAGCTTCGGACTTGTCAGTCACATGGTTCTGAAGTGAATTCTGAAGGACTCAGCCAGATCGTGCATGCTGGTGACATGGATTTGTGGATCTTTCTTGGAAGATCGATTTCTAGATTCTAGAAGTCAGTCCTCATGTCAGGACTGTAAAGAGTTGGGCATCGGTCTTTTCAGACATCTTCTGGTTCGCAGCCCAGCTTTAGAATTCGATGTTGCTGATGCCAGGCATTTGTCACAACGAGAGACCCAGAAAATCAAGTATGCTTCGTCTGAAAAGAATGAGGATAGCCCAGGCCCCATTCTTCCCTCTGGTTTATCATCAACTTTCAATATATATCCCATTAAAATATATTAAAATATAAATGGCAATAACTCGGGGGGTAAATCCCTGATTTTAAAATGATCCTCACCGTTGGTCCGCAGAAAAACTCATCAGGTCAGCATCTTTGCCGAGGACCGATCCGCAAGTTGGGATGAATCGCTGCTGGGGTCCCTTAAAACCCATGAATTTTGAATGATTTCCAGCAGTGATACCTGGGGAAATCACGCTGCAGAATGATTAAAAACTGCAGTGGCCCCAAACAAGGGATACAAGGGCACGCAGGGATCCAGAAAGTATCAAAATAACTCTGGTATCAATACAAATCTGTTGTGAGCACGTCAATCAGCCATGCTGTAGCTACAAGGGGATTCTCCATAATATCAGTTCCAGACTTTAACAGACTTTCTTGAACTGAGCCTTGTGAATGAACGCGGTTTCTAAGTTGGGCTATGTTATGTTTTACAGAAATAGCATGAGCAGTGGACTCCAAAACGGCAACATGATGCAGGATGCAGCGTGTGGCTGGCCGGTTTTTTGGGCCTTGAGCAGTTTTGCTTGTGTAGGAGTAATCGTGCCATGACAGGAGACACCAAACTCGGCTGGGATTTGGGCCCTCGTAATGCTTATATTATATGCTACACCAAAATCCAATGGTTAATCATGATGTTTCCCCAGAAAACATGTCATGTTCATCCATGAACATGGGGGATCACCCATGTTCAGACACACCCATGGACCTAAGTCCCTGTTGAATTTGGGAACAAATTCAGTGTTCCAGTCGTCATGTGGCAGGGATACCTCGATTCGACACCTCTGTTTGAAGCTCAGGATCTGCGATCCGTTTTCCACAAGTTCTTCCAAAGTTTTTTTTTTCCATATGGGTATGGATCAATACCTATTAATACCATTTTTAGGGGGATGAACATCCATTTACCAGCTATTTTGATGTTCACCAGGGGTACAAGGTTTTGACACACTGCCATATAACATCATCTAACATCATATAACTGGTGGTTCCATGTGGTTCCATCTTTTCTGTATTTCCATGTATTTCCAATTTTCATATGTTTGTCCATTGTTTGTTTTTATACAGATTTATCATGTCCCTCTTTTTCCATAAGTTCTTCCAATCTGGCGGCCCGAGCGGCCCGAGCGGCCAAGGCTTGTCGCTGGTCATTTCGCTGCTACAGAAGCTTCCGAGCCTGGCGGAGGTCGTGAACCAGGTGCGGTCGAGATAAGAATGACTATATATATATAGATATATAATATGATCGAATATAGATAATGACTATGAATATGAAAAATAAATAAGACACTTACTGTGTATGGATCATATAAGATTCATATATAGTATATGGATATTCTTATACATGTGTATATACCTGGATCTCCCTATAGATACTTATTCCTGACCATATTGCTAAAAGATTGCTTTTGAGAGATTCTTTCAAGAATCACGGCCATGAACCAGATTCACGTCCTTCTTAAAGCCCCTACGGTTTTTCACGTCCATGTATGGATTTTAGCATACATAGAAAGATACCCAAATATGCATGGAAATTGATGCTTTCTACATATATGTAAAGATTTGAACGCTAGCTTCAAAAAACACATGTCTCTTGAGAAGGGTTTCTTTCACACCCCCGCACATCTGTAGCTCTTTTTTTCCACTCCTTCAGCCTCGGGCCCATATTGATTGAATATGGGCCAAGTACCTTTGCAAAACCCGCAATGCTATCAATCGCGGACTTACCTGACGAGACACCGTGGCACATCTGCCAATGAAGTCTTCGTCAAGACTGCAAGTAAATATCGCAGGATTAGTGCAGTAAGCAGCAATCCTGGACTGCCGCTTAAGCTCAAAGGCAACTTCATGCAGAGCATGCAGCTTTGGATAAAGAGGATAAAACGATAACCCCAAAGAATAGGCTGCATGGGCTTGCCACATGTAAGCCTTAATAAAAGTCCGGAGGCTATTGCCAAGCTCCAATGCCAGTGCAGAAGGAATCAGCGCATCGTTCGCGTAGATGCCCCTCATGAACTTGTTCAAGTGTTTTGTGCCAACAACCTCACAAGGCAGAACTGTGTTCTTTTGAAAAACTGATGTTGTTTAATAACCCAAACAAAAAGGGTATACAGTATATACAAGTAAAAGAAAACATTGCATATAATGTGCAACTTTTTTTTGGACAAGTTTGTCCTTCAGGTTCCCCACACACACAGGTCTATCTGCATGCAGTTCATGCTAACCAATTTTTTTAAAATTATGCAGAGAAACAAAAAGCCGTAGGCGCTCATGCTGCTCTATCAAGTCAGAACGACGCTCGCAAAAGTCCTCCAAAAACATCATGAAATTGCTTGTGATTGCCGCTTTGTTCCACGTGCCTTCTGGGCTTGTAGTGCACCCAAACGTTCTCACATCGATTTTCCTGATGATTGGGTCCAAACGAGATCGACGGCAGAACTCCTTGTATTCACGGGCGATGACTTCTATTCTGCTGTCCACGTTGGTTCCATCCAATATCAATTGTTGCAATGTCATGATGCCACATGCAACCCAGGACTTACCGACACCCAGGTGAATGGAATGCCAGCAATCCACCTGGTGGAACCGCGCTTTGCCATTGACCTCCCCATCCACCAACAGTAGACGTGTCATAGGGCACTCTCGCTCCCAGGGTGGAGCCATTGCAACAGTATGGGATTCCTCCATTGCAGCCTCCGCTTCAGCCCTTAGCAAGTGGGATGCCACTGATATTGAAAAAACACTTGGTATAGAATGAAACATTGCTCACCCAATCTGATTCCAAAGCAAACATGTGACAACACAGAAAATAAAAAATGTGAAGCAAATTAGGGAAACCAGGAAACATATTTTCCCAGTCGATGCCCTGGCCGCAAGCACACAGATGACAGATTCCAGGACCTTGAACCTGAAAATCACCCTGGTCCCCCGCACCCTTGGGTGCTCTTCTGTAGGAACGCTCCAGGTTCCCACTTGATACCTTAGCTGCCCACACTCTAAAACATGCACATGCACTATATATATTTGGGGGGTATATGTTATATATAATGATCAGGAATAAATATAAAACACGTTGGGACCGGAGATATAAACTATAGAGTATCAATCCAGCCCTTTTATGTTGAATACATTGGCCAAAAAACAGTCCCAATTTCAAACCAGGTATCTAAGTAGCTCCAATCACCCTTGTTGGCCAAGACAATTGGAAAGATCCGTCCTTGTTGACCTCCCAAGTCTATACCGTCCCGTTCGCAAGCAGCAAGATCGGCCACAACGATCTCAAAGATCGCGTTCCATATCCTGGGGTCATCCTGGTACAACTCCTCAACAGGGAGTGCAATCAATCCACACATTCTATCAAACTGGATGCACACATAACTTTCTAAGTTGACATGCGAGACCCAATACCTTTTGGATTGAACTTTCGAAACCATGCACCAACATAAAAATTGTTAAGTCACGAAACATTGGAAGTCCATGCATGCATGATTCCAACATATGTTTTGAAACCCAAAAATGCTCCTTAGGACATACGCAAATCAACATCCTCGTTTGGAATCCAGTTCGTAGGAAGTTGAGGGGGATTCCTTCATCCACAGCCCTGTAGTCCACGTTCCTTTTGGATGATCCATGTCCCCAAACTCCTTGGAAACTCAAAACCAATAGTCCATTTTTCTTGTATGTGACCCCCTCGTCACCATGTATGAGAATTGGGACACAACAAGCAGGGTCTTTCCTTCCAGCATCGACGTCTTCCCACAGTTGATGTCTTGGGAATAATACTCTGTACTTGGCCCAAAAATCAACTAGCCTTCCACGGGCTTGGGGCAGTGTGAAACCCCCAAGTAGGTGATCAAGGTCATTCATCCTCACCATTGATCTGATAAAATTGGATGGTTTGATCCAAGGGAAGGAGTTCAAGGGTGCTGATTCTTCCGTCGTGATATCCACAGGGTAGTAGAGACCATTCAATCGAAAGACTGAAGTGACAGCATATTCCTTGATCATGAGCTGAAGGGGTTCAAGGAAAATTGCAACCGTATTCAACAACATATAAAATCCAGGAGGTGTAATATATATATATATATCAATATATAAATTATATAACCCAATAGTCTATCATGATATTTCGGGCTTATGTATAGCAAAAAATGCAAATGGCATATCACAAACCAGTTCAAAGCTACAGCTTTTGTTCGGTCAGCTGATGCTAGACTGGAAAGCACTGGGCAGTTGATGGTCGACTGGAAGCCGTCGCAGACATCTCGAAGCTCAGCGGCCGCGTAGTCAATGATGTCAGAACATTTTTCCTGCAATGCAATTGGCAAAGCATATATAGATGATTCAAAGCCATCCTCAAAGCGTGGCATATATATCTTTGATACTATTATCAATAATATAAACAGTCAAAACCAGCGGCCATTGAAAAATAAATCAATCATGTGTGCTATGCGCGCATCAGTGCTCACTTGCATTCTTGATCTAGACAAAATTAACCCTTGTGGGGTTCATTTCCATGTTTGTTCATTGATATTTCCATGCATGCCCATTTGACACCATGGGGGGCTAATAGCCATGGCACTCTATTTGCTGCCAAGATGCACCCCTTCCGTACTTCCAAGCAAGCTGTCTCGCCTTATGCGAGGGACCTGGCATTTCCGGTTGGGATGGGCAATGGGCTTTTGGATTCGTGGACCCCCCATGGATTCCCAAGTGTTTGCATGCCCGGGCATTTTTCCCACCACTTCAGATTCGCATCGTGTTTGCGTGGAGACTGGTTGGCACACAATGGATGGCAAATGCTATGGCAATCCACAGCTTGAAAGATCAAACCCTATAGGAACTAATCCATGTGTTCATCACATGGCAACTCTAAACCCCGAAATTGTGCAGCACCCAAAAATGTTGGATCCATTGCCAACGTGAGCAACACCATCATTGAGGGTCGACCTATAGGTTATAATAATATATATAATATTTTTTTTTTGGGCTACATTGACTCCATCTAAAAATCCCATTTTTTGTGAATCCAACATGGGCACTTAGGCTTTGCGGGACTTCTTCCTGCGCACGCTTGTGGCAGGAGCGCCCGGCTGATCATCAGCAATGTTTGCTGGCTGGGAGTTCTTGGATTTCCTTGGCACCTGACCCTTCTTCGAAGGTGATCCCTTAGATTTCCTCGAACCTTTGGGTTTTAGGCCCTTGGATGACGAGGGTCCGGATTTTCCTGATCCCTTGTTCCCAGATCCCTTTCGGGTCTTATTGGGTTTTCCGCCCTTTGGCTTAGAAGACCTGCCCTCCAAGTTGTGGTCTTTGGCGATGACCCTGCAACCAGGGGAAACACAACAGCCACGCAGATGTTGATATAAAAATCATATTTTTTTCGGTACTTGACTCAGCTCACATGGAAGGAACCTGTAGCGACACTCCAATGGTATGAGGGCGGAGCACCTGAGATGATGCATGATTTTTACAGCAAACATTTAGCATGAACACATGAATATAATATATAATTAAGTATATATAATTATATGCTCATGCATGTGGGTACCATGCTAATTTAATCCAAAGTAACTGGTTCTTCACAGCGGTCTTCTCGGTCCTCACTTCTTCCAACAACCTCAGTTGTAAGTGATAAGCCCATGCATGCACTTGCAACCAAAGATTGTACATCATGTATATCATGCATCGCATGGATTCCATGCACGTGTTTGCTTTTTCCCTAGTGCACCAACGCCGCATGGTCTAGGAGGGAGGTATCTTGAAAGAATGATAGATGACATACACCAGAAATAGTCCATAGTCATCATCACCTATGACTGGATTGTTCCCCTCTATCCCACACATTTCTGCAACCGGATATATGTTTGGTCATCCAAAAGTGTTTCGAAGCAAATGAGGAAGATGACAATCTAGAATATTATAGCCCAAAAACAGGCATGTTGGCATGTCAAATAATGAAACACTGTTGTGAAACCTAGACAAGTTGCTAGAGCAATAAAACCTTGTATTTGCAAAGTGGGGTACACACACACACACACGATGCATACTGTCGCTGGCACAATCATAATTTATATGATTATATTATATAAGCATATGAGCAATATAAATAAATATATATATATATATATGTGGCTAAGTGGGAAAAAGAAAAATAATAGTCATCATCCTCTGAACCTATATCGCCGGCTTTGCTAGAGGGTGCCCTTATTCAACCACAAAAGGGACTCTTGAATACAAACAGTCCTACATAACATCCAGATTGTTGATCAGAATGCCGCAAATTATCTATAGAGAAATATCCATAATGAGATGTTGTTTCCACCATTGGGTCCTTCCTACATCATTTGATCCAGGACATCCTTCCAATGACATCACCAGTGTCGGTTTGCAAGGACTGCCTGGGATTGGTCGCAATTGGCAATTGTTATATCAGGAGGCATCCAAAAATAAGACCAACAGTTGGCCATTTGGAACCCACCTTGTGCAGGATTAGGGGAATTACTGATGATGGCCTGGCCAAGTGCATGAAGATTTTTGAGGATATATGTAATGGGGTGCACTGCAAAATAGAATATATAGATAAATTAAGTCAAATGAAATGATGTTCAAGGGCCTCTCTTGGTTGTATTTCAACAATTCTTGAACCCATTCTCCAGCATAATCAGAATTGCCACCATACATGTGATTGAACAACATATATATTATTGGAACCGTGTGCATTAATCGATCCCAACAGCACTAAATTTGATGTTTCTCAAATCATCCCAAATGAACTGACTTAAAGAATGGCACTTTCAGGGGAAGAGTGTCATGGACACAACACTATTTGTTTAAATCTATACAAGCAACTGGTCAAGCTTCTCACTTGGAGTCTTCCCATCATTGTGGTCCATCTTCAACTCGGTGATGTAGCGGCTGAGGGTCGCAAAGCTACCTTCCATCTCTTTCATGACCGCCCCAAGGTCATCAGCAAGCCTAAGAGGGATATGAGGGACCAAGAAAGAAGAAGACATCCGGGGACCCAATTTGAAACCAAGGCCTTGGGAACATGCATGCATTTCAATCCATATATAATTTATGTTTTATGCGACTCATCATTTGCAATCAAAACGCTTTGTGGCTACTTGCTCACTTGATGAGCGAAGCTTTTCGATCATCTTCGCAATGGACTGCTGTTTCTTTTCAAGGCTTGTCATGTAGGCTTCCAAATCGACAACCGGCTGGCCAGGGGCTGACAACGCTACCCATAAAGGGCTCTGGGGTATAACCATTGCACTATATAATTTGGTATATATAATGAAACTTGTGATATGTGATATTTTTCATTACATGAAACTGCAATGGTGCCCCACCTGAGACCCAACCACCTCTGGAGCTGGCTTCGGGTCCGGGAGAGCCACCAAATTCTTGCCCAAACCCTCAGGAGCCTTCTTCAAGCTCTTGGCCTCAGAATGAGCCGGGGATCTTAGACACAGGATTGGATTCCAGGAAAGTATCATGCGTGAAGATGGCTCAGAATGTATAATATTTTTTATATCATGTTGTATTTTAATATAATCATTTGAGTTAAGAAGATCTATCATTTTCGTATACATGTTCAAATCCATGTGAAGATCCAGGATGATGAATTTGTGCCATGTGTTTTCACACAAAAAACTCTGTATGCACTTTATATGACCCCTAAAAAATGTCCCAAGCTTCCGACCTCCCTAATTATATAACCAAGAGTCACCAAGATCCACTTCCTCCGTTTCCTTCGTCCTCTCAGCCTTGCGGTGGAGGGTCTTGTCCTCGTCGATGATGTAGTATTCGCTGACATTCTCATTGTACCGCCAGCATCTGCATGGCAAATCTTGAAAAATGAGTAAGGGGTTATGAAATGTATGGGGTCTGGGTGTCTTCTTCTAAACAGTTTTTATCACAAGTTGTTTATATATGTCTTTTGGCAATATATACCTGGCCTCACCAACGATTCTGGAAATCGTCGGCAGTAAGCCACCATGGCTTTGATACTTGCCGGGCTGAATTTTCCAGACTTTTTCAGAGCATCTTCTGTATACCACTTGCCGTGCACCTCCTGCTCTTTGTCTTCCATCCGTTCCCTCACCCATTTGCATCGCATCACAAAGTCAGCCTGATACAGAAGGCCCATGAATGGATTGGAAACACATACCATGGTTTACCCATTGTGGATTTGCTATATATATATATATACACAGAAGAATGTTGGGCCTTAATCTTCTTGTAGTTGCTCCTGTCCAAGCCCCATTTCGATATGCTCTCTAGTAGAGCCATCTCCAACTCCTCTCTGTCAGTTCCTCCAGCTTTGTAGCGATCCACTATGTCCTGCTCAACCTGGAGCTTTCCACTTGGTTTTTTCTCACATAAGCGCCTGCATCTCATCCGTAATGCATCTGTGGTGATCCGAACCTTGGATACCATGAGTTAACATATATTGTCATCAGATTTAACTTTGAAATTCGTATAAACATAATAAGTCAAAGTAGCGACCTTCCCTTGTGGAGTCCTGACCCATTGGTCTTCTTCGTCCTCTTCTTCTTCTGAACCATCAGTCCCCCCATCCTCGTCCTCTTCATCAGTGGTCGCCTTCTTCATGTCTTTGTCAGGTACAGGACGCTTCTTTGGCAACTCAGACTCTGCACGTGTCGGTTGGTCAGTCCCCTGAAGACTTTGAACTTGTTTCACATTTTTCAAACTGTCTTCCAACTGGTTGACCCGAGACAAAGTTTGCTTTAAGAGGTCTTGCAAACTTGCATTCTCTGATTGCTTTTCCTTCTCCATTTCCTTTTTCTGATCGATCTCCCTTTCCAGCCTTTGAACGTGGTCGAACAGCAAAGAGTTCTTCTGCTTCACCTGCTGGACCTCCTTGTCCTTCTCATCAAGGGCCTTCTTGTGTTCCATCACCATGGCCTTGTCAACATTCTTGTTCATAGGGACCTGTGCCGGCTTTCCATGTGATGTTATATATAAATGGGGTTGGGTAAGACACGCACACAAAACATGTATATAATATATAATTTGATCTTATATATATATATATGTATTCGATAAGATCATATATAGTTCACTTATAATTCAGTGATGTCACATATATATATATATATATCATGGGGATGCATTGAATTGCCTGTTGGGCATCCGGGGTGGAAGCTAAGTAGAAAGAAGCCGGTGGAGTCGCATGCGCAGAACGTGAAGAATGAGCTGGGGGTGGCATTTCCTGGGCATCCGGGGTGGAATCTAAAACAGGTTGTTTGATGGTAAAGCACCCACATGTATAGAAGCACACTCAATGATAAAATCAAACAATAAATAGATATGGTGATCATGAAACGATTTTTAAGTCCAGGAAACTGCTGGGATCGTATCTGCATCAGGTGGAGCAACAGCTTGTGCCATTACGGGTTCCTCCACAAGGGACATGTCCCATATTGGGATATCAAAAGTTATACAAAACTCCAAACAAATGCATGCAAATGCATGGAACCCCTATAGTATGTACACCAGTATCAAAGATGCTGCCTGTGACGCCTGTGCTTGCGCTTGCTTCAAGGTCCCAGGGCTCTCGGAGCGCTCCATCTTCACACTTCCAAGACCATGGTTGGTAGCCTCAAATGGAGGAATGGTGGTTGAACTGGCATGGTTTGGGTCTTCAACATATATGAACATTTTCCATATATAGACAGGTATACAACTTATATAAGATATATCATATTATATATATAGTTGTATACATTTATAATATTGTAAAATATTTGTTGCCCATATATTTGCAGAAGATATATAGGTGTATATATATTATCATGTTCCATTGTTTTTTTAACAAATGCTGCCAAATAGCGCCAGCTTGCTTGCTCAGAGTGTTCATCAACATTTGCCCCACCTGAACATAGCATGGTTTTTGGATGTTGCTGGCTATAATGAAACTGACCCATGTGGATTCAATGGAAAATTTGTATACAGCATGAATTATTGGATGATGTTGGAGAGCTATATTGTCAGGTGGAATCCCCTGGCCTGAGCATAGTCTTGGGTGCTCAGGTTCAACCCTGCTTTCGTAGCTGCCATTTGGATCCCTTCTTCAAGGGTTGCACAACTCCACCCACAAGTGGGAAGAGACGACACCATAGAATCGCGTGACATCCCACCCAACTTTACCAGCTGATTGACTTCCCAATGGCTATGTGTCAGAAATATTTACAAGATTATACAAGCAAATCCTCAAAGACATTGCCACTACCATGGGAAAATGTGATGCACTGCAGTGCATGCAGTAAAGCTTGCAAGGTTTTGCACCACAGCTCCTTTTTCCCTTATGGATTTCACCGGCTACCATAGGTCATGCCACAGTGATCACTACAGGAAATGAATTTTCAAATTTTCAGGTGTTGCGCAACACACCAATCAGAAAAAATTGATTGGGATAAGGCTGGATCCAATAAATTTTGATTTGAATACTGTTGAATCAGAGAAAAACTGAAAGGGCCCCCAAAAGCACAAAAAAAAACCTGTTTTTTTACGTAATTTTTACGTAAAATTTGCGTAATTCGAACGTAATCGAACGTAATTCGAACGTAATTCGAACGTAATCTGAACGTAATTCGAACGGTTTACGGGTATTCATGTCCACAGAACGGTTTTTCACGTCCATTTACGGATCTCAAAAAAATGTGAAAAATGAGTCCCAAATCGATTTTAGTTCACATCATGGTCATTCCCATTCATTTTAAACAAGTATTCCAGAGAATCAAGTAGAATTGGATTGATGGGGATTGGGGGCCCTGTTATTCCTGCCCTGTAATTCCTGCAATAGCTTTGGCTAACCTGGGGATATACCATAATTATATATTTATAGACTTGAATGGACTAAATGAATAGCAAATCAATTTATATCCTTGGGGTGTTCAAAGCACCACCTGCAATCGCCAAAGCGTTGCCTTGTAGGCATCATCCATTTGATGATTTCAACCAGAATTAATGGTGACGCAAATGGTGTAAAATTTCAAGGGCTTGAGGCATTGCCTGCTTCCACTCAGCAGGCAAGTTCAAATGCTTATTGCCCCGAAGATATTTCAGGGGAGACCCAAGTTTGGCTTCTGGCCAAGTGGTGAAGGCCATTTGCTCAAACACTTGAATTGGACATTCAGATGGGTCCACGTCTGGAATCCCCTCTGCCCCAGCCATGATCTGCGGCATCAGGTTCTTGATGGCCTCTCCAAAAGCTGGCGGATACGTCCTCAGTTGGAAAGAAAGGGACATGACTGGACCTGCTGGTAAAAACCATGGAACACATGTTATTGAGGTAATATTGATTTCGAGTGACATGCATGCAGAACTCACTAAACAAAAATAATATATATTCAGCAAATGAGGGCAGGGCTGGGATTTTTTGAGAGCGGGCGTGCCACTGTATGAAGGCTTCCCTGACTTCCCAATGGTTTTGCGGACTGTTTCCACTCGTTGGTTGACATCGATGGAATTACGTGCCATCTTGCCCTTATACAGCTGTGAAAATGCAGAATTATTCGTCCATCCCTTCTGTGGCTTCTCCGAGGATGCTCCGTAGTGGCCCATGTGCCACTTGATCAAAAAAACCTTGGATTGCAAGTCGGACAGGACCAACACTGGGAGTGTCAGCTGGCAGGTATAGTTTTTTTTTTTTTTTTATATATTATAAAAGGTGGTTATTTCAAGATGTTTGTGGGTTTCAAATGATAATAAGGACCGATTTGCCACATGATTCCAGTGTCCTATTTGGTGTTTGCAGCATATAGGATGCAAGAATCGATCTTATACTGTATAGGATTCGCATGCTACCCATTTGACCCTTATAATGCATGCATGGCATTCAGCCACGTCACTTTGCAGCGACGACAAAACCACTGCATCCTCTCGTATTCACCCATCAGACTGGAACGGGGTTGCTCCAAAAACCATGTCCCTCCGCATGCCAGCACCAGCCCTAGAAGAAGGACACACCTTGGCAGGATATGGCTCATGCAAATTCATGGGTGAAACCAGGTCAAGATATCATATATTGGTTCTCCCAAAGATGATTCCAGGTTTGTTTCTTTTAATAATGGAAAAGTTGAGGTGCCGTGACATCATAGTGTTGGCAAGGGATACGTAACGCTTGTCAGTATCACCTTCTGGCAGCAGCAAACTCCTGCATGACGTGAAGCAATTGATTTGTACCCAAGAGCTGCAAACTGTTGCCCACAGGGTCCCAAAGTGGCCCAGGCGGCATGAGAGGATCAGGTGGATGTAAAGCCTAAGTGCAGGATGCCCCATCGGTTGAAGCCCACACAAGACAAATGAATTGGAAATCACTTACTGGATTGCATACATGAGTGCATTCTTATAACCATGCATTTTTTGAGATCCATTATAAATCTTTTGAATCCCATGCTATAATATAAATTACCTATAGGACACCCCAGAAACACAACTAGGGATGGAACCCCAGTCCGGCATCTGTCAGGATATCAAAAGGATTTTGACCACCCAGGGTGTGCTCCACGTACTCCGAATCGATTCCAACGCACTTGTGGGAAGCCCCACGTACAGCCCGCCAAACAGCGCCCTGTCCAGCGAAAAACTCCAGGAACGACAGCTCCTGCGGCAGCGGCGTTTGCTGGGCACCTAAACTTGTGGATGGTTAATATACATGATTGGTGAGCTATTGTGGGGCACAGTATAGGACCAAAACATGCAATATTTGGTATACATCATAATACATCGCATATATAATATAAATCCACAAAAAATAGATCTTGGCTCCTCATCAAACACGGGGAAATTCGATGAGAAGCTGGTCATTAAGACCAGCATGAGAAACGCCTCAGATATATTGAAGGGTGTCGAGGACATGAAACACATGTTAGAGGATAAACTGCCACAATGGATGAAACAATTTCCATTATATATGAATTCACGTTTTTCAATCGACATCAGAACTATATTATATATATATAAGACTGGCCCACATGTAAAGAAACCAAAGCCAAGTAACTTTTGGCATTTGCAGTTTTGCAAGTCGCTTCATAACTAGCCCAATGTTGTCCCTTCCAGTAACCATGGCTGCACTGGACGAAATCAAAAGCTTCGTTCTTGCAAGTTCAGTTGCGACATGGACCATTGAAGCACATGGGTGAAGCTTCCCAGGAATTAGCAATGTTTCCTATCCGCTGGAATTTAAGAGGTTAAATTCTGACAGTTCAATGTTGTTTCATGGGTAGCTGATGCTGCGAAAATGGAAACGCACACAATGAACATGCTGAAGGTTCAATTGTGATGATGTTCATTCATTGTCTTCAAAACCCATGCAAACTTACAAACCATTGAATGATTGATATTATTCTGTTCATGTATAGCTCGTGACAATTTGTGCATTTGATGTCTATACCGCCCCAATAAAGATGTAAGCGAGCCAGCATAGCCTCTACTAAACCTCACTTCTGCCCCAGCTCTGATCGCATTCCGAGAGCCTTTGGTGAGTTTCCTCACCTTGGGTCGAGGCATTCAGCAATGCACCTGGCAGGATGACAAGGACAGAAGATTGATTGGACTTGGGTGCCTGGGGTTCTGTATATATATATAATAAATAATAATATATCATTAATATATAAATTTAATTGGTATTGGCTCCAGAAAATCTATAAGTATATATACCTTTAATATATATATATATATATATGATCAATATATTATATATGTATTTGGAGATCATTGTGGTGAAGGGAAACTCCACGCCAAACCCAGCTGCCACACTTTTTCTCACCTCAGCTGACCTTGCTTCCCCAACTAATGATTCGTCTATTGCTGATACCCTTTCTTCGAACGTATCATGATCGACTTTGAAACCAGTGAAAATGCACATGTGCTTAAGTCTCAAGAGCACATCCGCCATCATATGCGCACAACGATGGCAATCCTCTGCCCCAGAGTTTCTTTGGACAAGTCAATTTATGTTGAAATATAATATATCCAGAATTTCAATCAATGCAAATGATAGATTGTTGATCCACTGGGGTTTAGGAGGAATGTCGTTGTCAACATATGGCCACACACAAAACCCCGGAACCACTCATGCGAAGCAATCACTATATTATACTTTTGTATAAGCTGGGTTAATCATTGAGATGAAGTTAAGGATGGTGCGATTATAAGATTATATAGCAGTTGGGCCCTTGATGGAATTATTGGTCATTTTGAAGTTGGGAATGACATGAGTGGATATATGCCTGGCATATCAATCAGTGGGAGCCGACCCACCCTGGTGCTCAGCAACAGCCAGCTCGTGCGAGGACTTCAGGACATTGGCGAAATTCACCAAGGATTCGCAAAGAGGATCAGGCTTGCCATCCGCCTGCCATTGGTTGACCTGGGCACCAGGGCTGACATGGACAGGATCAAAACATGTTTTTGGAAGTTTTGTTCATGACTCTATCCAAGAAGCTGCATGAAACCCCAAAAATTGCTACATCACAAGTGTGTTTTGTTGGTGTTAAAACACTATCAAAAAAAATATATAGATCAATCAAGCCATATATATATATATATTATAATATATATAATTAATAAATTAGTTATATAATATTGATATCAATTTTACCTCATCGTATATTATCTTGCAATCTAGAGACCCAAATCTCAGCCAACTTCTGGTTGGTGTAGAAGCATGGAGTCTTGCCAGAGAAGTAGGTAACATGAGCCTTTCCTTTGCCCTGGGCCTTTTTATTGGTAAAGTACTTGCGTCCCACCTTAATCCCACATGCGTTGCGGGTCCTGTAGGGCTCCATGTCCACGTCAGCACTCTTCAATTTCACCTTTTCCACTGAGGGATGTGTGCAGTGGGTACGGTCACACTCAAGCAGGATCTCTTTGACTAGGTCCTTCACCCATGGTTCTGCTTCCACCTTGGAAAAATTGCGTCTGGTACGTTTGGGCTTGTCTTCTTTCTGGATCTGCTCTCCTGCAACCCGCTTTTTGCCTGTCCCACTTTCCTTATCCCCAGTCTTTGCTGCTGCCTTGGCCTTGGCCTTACTTCTTGGCTTGGGGATGGAACTTGAAGACTTGCTGCTGGACTTCTCCTTCGTTTCCTCAATGTCCACATCACCCTTGGCTTTTGCTTTCGATTTGGCTGCGGTTTTCTTTCCCTTGCTTGGGACAGGGCATTCCGTCTCGATTTTTCCAGCATCTTTCTCTTTCTCCAAGACCTCTTCTTCAGGCTTTCCTTCCTTTGGTTCTGGTTCCTTGACATGTTTGGGCTTTCTGCCTCGCACCTTTCTCTGTTCCTTTGCGTTATCTTGATTCTCTTCTGCGGCTTGCTGCTCATTCTCCTGGTCATTGTTTTCTCCCTGCTCTTCCTTCTGCTCCTCTTCTTCATTCCTGTGTTTGGCAGTCTTGGATTTCTTGCATGCATTTTTCTTCTTCTGGTTTGCCACCGCCTTCTCATCAACACCTTGGGTCTCCGATGATTTCAAAGCCGCATTCAACTTCTTGAGTTGTTTCATCTTTCGGCTCCGGACCTTGTGACCTGGATGGCATTCCGATGCCTCCGTCTTGGTGTTCAGGTCATCATCCTGTGGTTGATCCAAAGTAGCAGAGCCTTTCATAGATTTGTTTTGTTTGTTGCGATCCCCTGCTTTCTCTGATGCCTTTCTACCTCTTTTCTTTGGGGATGCATTTTTCTTGGCTTCTTTTTCCAACTTTTTTCTCATTTTCTCTTCTTTTTGCTGCTTCTTCTGGACTTTCTTCTCTGCCTTCTTCTCTCTCTTCTCTTCTGCGCGTGCTTGTTTCATGCGGAACTGTCGTCTTCTGGTAATCACTTCGTGGTCAGGGATGCTGGTGCTGTCTTTGCCAGTCGCCTCCACCTGTGGCGTGGGGATCGATCGAAGAAGCAAGTTTATTGTTTGTTTTCTAAACACGGAATCCCATATTATATTTATAAGCATTGTAATTAATTGAAAAATATAAGCAGTTGATGTTTTTAGGGGTTATTATATTATAGATACATGCAATATATATATATATATATTCTGAGCCAACCCTCATCCATCTTGATATCCAAACAGTATATCAATCAACATCATAAGCACCAGCAGGAGAGATGGTAAAATTATGTTTCACCCTTGGCCTCATTCTGTACCATTTTCTCATGGTTGTCCAACTCTCTCAATGTAGCATGGGCCACATCAGTGGTTGGAAGCTGGGACGGGGAGCATGGCAATTGAGTCTCATCAAAGGGAGTAGCCGTAGGCGGGATCATGGAGTCTGAAAGCACCAACATGGGTGATGGCACTGATGTTGATCCTGACTTCATATTTGTAATCCAAAACCAACTATAAGAAACGTGAGTGATTTGGAATATGATTACCCCATAAAGAATATATGGGGGCATCAATGGTGCTTAAATAAAAATGGGGAACAATTCAAATTGAGAAACCGGTTGCCCCCTCCACGTTGGATGCTGCACTGTGACCGGCTCGTGGGACTTGATCATCCTGAGTTTGCCTTAGATGGTTCAGCATTGGATCTGTGAGTATGTAGAGTTTGGGTAGTCGATCTTATACAATATATATATATATGCATACCCTGAAGGGATTTAGTCACTAGTCCTTCATGATATCGGTTGTATCCTCACCATGTGTGGCACACACATATATATATATATGATTACAATTAATGGAATCCACCAAACAACTTCACATGACTGTACTTGACTGTGTATGTTTAGTCCCAGAAACTTGGACAAGTCCAACTGCTTCAAGGCATTGATAATCATGTCAACGGTTAAGCCCGGGGGAACATGCTGCTTCACTTTGGACGTACCCTCCTCATCAGACGAGATGTCCCAAATCTGATCCTGAAGGAGAAAAAAAATGGGGAGCCTGAAGTTTCAAAATTAAAACATTTCAAAACAGTTATATTATATATATATATGTTTTGGAACATCTATAGTGTGTATTTTTTGAAAACAAGGTCCGGTCCTTTTGGTGTGTCTCTGGGGAACTCGAATCTTTCAAGGTTGCTGGGGTCCCAATGAATGAAGTAGATGGGGCACGGCACGGAGTTGCCACAACTTTGGAAGACCCTGCTCCGGGGCCCGTCTCGACCTCCTTGTCCACAACAGGTGCTGGTGGACTGGATGGGCCTTCAGCCAGAACCTTATCCCTTGGTGGACTTGGGATCTGTGGCACAGGTGGGCCTGGCAAGGGCACCTCTGGCAATTGTTCTTCGAGATTCTCAAAGATAACTCCCAATTCCTTCTCAACATTAAGAGAGTCTTCTGGAAACATGGGTAGTCCATCAGTACACGGTTGGAGTTCCTGGCCCCCACAATCTTCATGGTCACCATCATCCCCGCAATCCTGACTGTCAGCACGTGCTGATAGGGGCTGCCAGTCCTGACAGGCTGACAGGAGTAGGGTACCAGATTTGGAACTGATATATGTGTTCATTTTGGTAGGTACTCAAGATCAGTACAAAACACATGTGCAATAGAAAACCAATAAAGCAATATATGCCTGGACATTAATGATGATGGATGTTAGAAACATTCCCCAAAAAATCACCAGCCATCCAGTTCCTTCCACATCAAACGAACCAATGATACAGGGTTTTATTGTTGTTGTGTTTTTAAGCCATCTTGAAACACAATACATCCCCTATTCGTTCATATGTTTATATTGTTTCATGAATCAAGTCAAAACCCAGTAATTGAGTTATGGAAGCCCGATATGCCTGGGTATACAAAGTATTTCATGCAATGGTATACCATGGCATGAAAACTTTGGGTAATAGTGGCAGTTTTTTTATATAATTCCACAACCCTTCCACCCCATCAGACCTCACCGGTGCTGAAACCCAATGCTTGAACAAGGTCTTGCACGACTGCATCCTGCATGCCGCTGGTTTCAGGAAGGACATTTGGGTGGTCCGCGTGTGCTGGATATGCCTTTGACCAAAACCAATCAATGTAGTATACCATATATAGTTCATTTTCACTATATGCATGCAAATATAAATATACTTTGGGGAATCAATGGTCCTGAGGGGGAGAAGCTCTGTAGATGAACTTCTTCATACGACCAATCATTCGACGAATCGCCCATGCTTCTTGATAAATCAGGTCACTGCATCGGCTAACCTTTGACAACTGGTAGAATGCATCAATGGCAACATTCAGGTTCTCAATGCTAGGGAGCTGCAAGTCATGATTTCTCATGACTTGCAGCAGCGGCTTGAGAACTGATGCATTGAGTTTCACATTGTCATTGTTTGCCTCGATGAAACAGCCCGATTCTTTCTGACCAGTAGTATGGTTGAACTTCAAGAGCAAATTGTGGTTGTCACGAATACGATCCCTGATGACTGGCGAATCATCCCACTGGACAGGCACGGTGTCCAAGCCATAGCTTCCAACAACAGACTTTGGGGAACCCTGTGAACTAGCAGATGGTGAATCCCTGCAACTCCCACTTGATCCCGCTTGGGTCGGGTGAGCCTCCGATCTCACACACATGGCCTTTGTTTTCGCCATGGTGCCACCCATAGTTCTGAACTGCCAGAGCCAAAACCAGTCTGCGCAGGACATGCGGAAAGCTGCATTGATGACTGGGCGCGGCTGGATATGAGTGGTTGCATCACCTATATCATGTGGTCAATATAAGGAATGGGAATTGAGGTGCCTAGTTCACTTGATTTATGATCAGTCAACAAATGATGCAATCACCGGTTGGTGCAATCAGGCTTGGCAAGATTCCAACTGAATGGTCCAATGTGATCAACCGTTCTTTGATAAATTAGTTCATCTTTACTGTTCAAGACTGTGGAGATCAACACCCATGCAGGTGGTCATGAGGATAGGCCATAACTTCCAACCATTCACATCAAGATCAAAGCTGCAACTTCCTTTGAGCTACCCCAGGGCAGCAAACATGCCAGTGGCACTCATGCATTCATTCGATGCAAGCCGCTCCACAACCACCATTGCACACAGCAATGGCCACCAAGAGCGTGTTAATTTGGAGACCCTGCGTGTGATGTTGATCTATATAGCTTGTCAATCTAGATCAAATTAGGCTGCTGCCTGTCCCAGTTTTTGTTGTTCCAGCAACTGCTAATTAAAGAGAAATTGACATAGATGTGATTTTGTTAATAGATGTTTTGCATCAATCCTTTTCAGCTAAAGATACCATGATATATATATTGGTGATTTCTCTGTTTGATTCATGTATGGTTTATAAGTGCAAGGTTTTATTCAACTGCTACATGTGCTTTAAAACATCTACATTCAAACAATCTCATTATAATAATTATATCAGGTGGAATCCCAATCCGTCTCACAGTTTCAAATGCTGGCGTTCGATGCGAGCCCCACTGAGCGGCAAAGAAATGATGCCTGCAGTGGCATTGGAGAGGTGGTGGGCCTGGAAGGTGTCAACATGTGTCAACCCTTTAAATTGAAAGTAAACCATGCAAATTGGGATCATTCAAGGGTTTCAAAAATTTCCTAAAGATTGAAGTGTGCACCATTTGCTGGGATATATTGATTGGTTTCATTGGGTCCTTGGTAACAATTTAAAGTAATAATAATGATGATGATGATATATATATATATATACAGAGTATTCTATATTTCTATGAAATCCATGTATGTTGATATAGAACTAACATATATATTCACCAAAATGCTGTTTTAATGCATTACGGATAATCACGTCCAGGACAACAATTCCTGGCTATCATCTTAAAAGAAAACAATCAAGATTATGGATAGGAAAAGGTGGTTATCAAGCAATGCAGGTATATATACCCTATGCTTCCTCGACCATATCTGGTATAGCCTCGAACATACTGGGAATGCTCGAACATACCGGGTTTCGCTCGAACATACCAGGATAACACCTCGGACATACCAGGAAGCCACGAACGACTATACCGGGAGTGGCCTAAGGGTTATACCAGGATATACCAGGATGCTGGCCCAAGGAATAGTAATAGGATATGCTAAGACCCCTTTGGATTGTCCACAAATGCCCAGCAGAAAAAAAAACGATGTAGATTTTTCTTGGAAACGGGCATGCGCTCGGGAGTTTGAGTCAGGATATCAGAAACATTCAGAGAATTTCAGCAAGAAAAAAAGATGGCATGTTGAAAGCACAGGGAGCCGAGGACAACCCCAGGACAACTCGTGGAACGCCCATGCTGGGACGTGGAACGCCTATACTGGGACGTGGAACGCCTATACCGGGACATGGACTCGGGGATCACAAAAAAATCTGAAATCGTTTTTGTTTTTTTTGATGGCTGTTTGTTTTGACTTTTGGCGGTTTGTTTGTGCCCAGCTTCAATGAGCAAACACGAGGTCGGGTTCGCGCACACAAATGAAATAGCTTGCAAAAAACAATCTAGATTGTGCAGGGGATGGTTCACAGCCTATACGTATGGACTCAAGGGGCTTACGGCCTATACCGGGAAACCATGAACGCCTATACAGGGATTTCATGAAAGCCTATACTGGGAAAACTGCTCGCCTATACCAGGAAAACATCCTGGTATAGCCTCCAAAACCCCGGTATAGGCTAGCACGTAACGACTATACCAGATATGTCCTTTGGAAGCATAGGGTATATATATATATATACATAATTACACATATACATGCATGTACGGATGAGATATATGGATGATAAATGAGTTTAAATGAGATAGTGAACTAGATGAGATATATGCAGATTGTATGGATATTGTGGGTATTCGGAGATAGTTTGTGCAATTCTATGATATATATAGACTATTGATAGGTTGCATTGGATTTGACTATATAATATAGATTTGACTACAGTAGATTTGATTAGACAGACAGGCAGGCAGACATTTAGACAGCCTGCATACGGAAGCTTACGGAAGCAATCGCAGCTGTAGAGTTGCCCCTGAACGCCATGGTGAGCTGATGGACTAATGATAACTACATGGAGGTTTTCTGAAATAGGGGCACCCCCAAATCATCCATTTATAGATGGATTTTCCATCATAAAGTATAAAAACCATAAAACCATCCAGCTATGGGGGCACCACCGATTATGGAAACCCCCCATATATTGATAACATATCGATAACTACTGGCTACACTACTGGCTACACTACTGACTACTGCAAAAAATAAGTCGGTCAATCATGGCCTGAGGGTCAGCTTTCAGGGTGGACTTGCATTTGTGGCGAGGTGATTCGGGAGGAGAAAGAGAAAGAGGTGCCATTGGGGCCAAGATTGTTCTATTTTACCCTCTGGTAAACTAACACAACTATGGAAAATCACCATTTTTAATGGGAAAATCCATGAAAATCCACTATAAATGGCCATTTTCAATAGCTATGTTAAATTACCAGAGGGTATTTTAAATGGGTTCGGACCCGGCATTTTCATCTCCAACTCATCCCAGGGCTGGAGTCGAGACGTCATGAACTATGTTCCCATCGAAGATTCCCATATGGCCAATATGTCCAAGATCCTCAAGTTCATGGTGAGATAACCATACCCACACTAGAACTAATCCCATCCCCCTAATGTAAAACATAGTGTACATGGTCCCTGAGTGAGTAAATCCCCTACATCCAGCGCCTAAAGTGAGGAGAATGGTGGAGACAGCATGGTGGCAGTGCATTTGAACGCCTTGGAAGAAGAGGAGGACTGCGAGGTATCTTTTCAGGCAGGAGAAGCGGCAGGTTTTTGACTGGCTTTATCTGGAAATGGGGAATTTAGCCATCAAAAAATGGAAAAATTGGGATTTAGCCAAAAAATTGGAGAATGGGGTTACCCTTCAATTTGATGTTTCAAAACCCTCCATTTTTTTGAAGATTTTTTGGACAAGCCCAATGAATCTCCAGCGACATTTGCCACAGTGACAGGTACATCGTGTAATTTCCACTTGGGTGCGACATATCAGACATATCGTGATATGGGTTTGTCTGAAAATATGGAAAATGATGCTTGATCATCATTTTCCTGACCAAAACTGCCATAATATTGGGGCATATTCGGATTTGAGGTTAAATGATGCCTAATCATCTTATTTAAATCTTTCTCCATTAAAAACTGCCATGAAATTGGGGCTTAATCCTCCAGTTTCAGACCCCGACATCCTGAGTACTGTGCGGCCAACTTGCTGCTGGCGAGTCTAGCGGAGTCACAGGCACGGGGCGGATCTATTTCTTTTTGTGCTATAACAGTGAGCTATCAGAGATTTGTTGATTTTTTGTCGATTTTTGTGGGAATATCATGAAATGTTTGGCTAGAGGTATTCAAGTTTCCAACTTGTTTTACATGTTCACTATATTCACTGGTGTTCGGTTATTGTTGTGAGCTGCTTTCGAGAGAGGACCGACGTTTTATGGGAATGGAATAGAAGGGATATCTCATTGATTTTTTCCCAATTGAAAGGCAAAAACGAAAAAACATCCATAGTTTCATCTTGGAGTTTCGGATATACATGGCAGTGTGTCAAAACCTTGTACCCCTGGTGAACACCAAAATAGCTGGTAAATGGATGTTCATCCCTCTAAAAATGGTATTAATAGGTATTGATTCATAGCCACATGATGATCATGATTGCACAGCATGGTCAGTTGTACACCCAGAGAGTCATCCGCTCCGCTGCGGTCAGGATGAACGAAAACTCCAAGAAGAACGTCTCCAACTCAGCGCTGCAGAGGTCAACCTTAAGTCCTTGGCCAGCGGCTACGAGTTTTTTTTGGTTGTTGTATGTTGTTGTTAAAAGATTTTTTTACCAGTGACATGTCCATGAAACAAACAAAATATCATAGATTTCTTAGTTTTTTTGACATGGACTTGAGTGTTGGTGCTAAGGATTTGATCAATTGTTGGTAGCATACACTGGCGCATGTCTGGATACTCAGCGGGAGATTTCTGGCCCACAACAGGAATTGGGAATGGCAAACCTTCATCAGTTTCAGCAAAGCGATTTCAAGTACTCCTTTTTGGAGCTTCCTCGGCTATTCCCAGCCCATCCTGATATATGGTCAGATTTGTTGGGAAGCAACAAGACAAATAAACCATCCCAGATTCTACCAGACATTTGTGATATAGACCATTCCCAGTTGGAGGTTATCATTGAATTCAGATCGACACATAAAATCAAGATTCGTTAAGAACAAAAACAGGAGAGTACTTGGTCCTGCTTGAATACTTTGAGTATCTTTGAGTCCTGAAGCCTGGGCTTCACCTGGGGGCTCTGGAGATAGTGAAGCAGAGCCCGCCACTCCCAAAAATAGATAGAAATAGTAACTTCACTTAGATCTAACTTAGCATGATAAAGATAAAGTCTAATTAATCAATGGGAAATCCAGGATCCTAAAATGGAGGTACTGTACCATATAAGGCCATATTTTGGGGGTATATCCCCTTACATAGGCCTTATATAGGCCTTATATATGGTAGGTACCTCCAGTTTAGGTTCCTGAGATGGCCATTGAATTAAGGGGAAAAACCACTGACATACAGAC